AAAACACAGGAAACTGACCGGAAAACACAGGAAACTGACCGGAATCCACAGGAAAAAAATCCGGTAACTTCCAACTGGAATACTGCTTCCAGTTTCCAGTGCTTTACCGTGCTTTCCGGCCAGATACGGTGATTTTTCCGCATCTTTCCGGCCGGTCCCTACAGTATCCGTCCTCCGGAATCATTGACCTGGGAAAGCCTTTATAAGTATCGCAGTATCGAGAAATTTTGTTTGCACGTACTGGTGCAGTACGAAGTGATTAGAAATGGCGTGTTTGCAAGGTAATATTTCTGATTCGTCTGCATATATATATATAATCGTTTACACTAAGATTTGCTTTTCAGAAAGCTTGGTTTTATCCGAAATCAATGCCAGACTACAAAAATATCGACGAAACTCCAAACAAGATAATTTGCGTTTATTCTTTTCCTTCTTCTGTTTTCTCTTTATGATCGGAATGATTGTTCCAAAATTGTATTCTTACGTACAAATATCTTATTTTTTTCTGTCGTGATTATTTATTTGGTTTCCCTTTTTCCCTTTCTTCAGTTTTTTTTATACTTCTTTAATGATCTACTTCATTGCTTTTTTTCTTTGTTCCCACTATTTTTTCGTAATAAAATTGGTGCTATTTGCACTAATAGCATGTATCTTTTATTTTATTATAACAAAATATTATCTCACTTTGATGCTGATCGTATAATACATCTCAGTTTACAGCAGTCACATTGTAATCAAATACTTGTTTAATTACTCTTTTGATTATTCATTTTGTTTTTTCATTGGGAAGTGAATAAATATCTTTCTATCTGTCGGTTGCAATTTTTAAATAATGACCTCCTAAACAAAATTAATCATATATATTGTTGTAACAATCTGCGCTATTTACATTTTTATTTCGATTAAAATTTAACTACACTGTAAAAGCAATTCGTAGAATACTAAAGCCAAAAAGGGTTGATGAAAGTGCAACGTATAATAAACCCTTTTTCTGTTTTTGGAAATTTTCATAAACCCTAAAGGGTATTTTTCCCATAATCATAAACCCTCAAAGGGTTTATGAAAGTTTCCAAAAACGGAAAAAAGGCTTATTATACGTTGCACTTTCATCAACCCTTTTTGGGTTTAGTATTATACGAATTTTTTTTTAACAGTGTACAAGAATTTATAATATCATTATAATCGAGCAACATTTTTTTAGAGAGCGATTATATTTATTTGTGAGTGTAACTGTTGTGTTGACATATGCAAATATTGATAATAGAACGTTTGAATAACACTCAGATTTACCATATGAAAATATGAGAATCGTTAGTTTCTTGATTGATATAATATATTATTTGCGATTTGATAATGATTGTAATTCGCTGTTCCAGAAATTTTCCGCTCCGATAGGCAAATCATAAATTATTTTGTATATTTAGAATGTTGGGTTGGATATTTTTTGATTTTGCTATTAAACATCTACTGGTGGAGAACGATCCTGCTCTCAAAAGTTCATTAATGTATGCAACCATTGATAATGGAATATTTGTCGGGCGACTACGACTTTGTCTGACTCTCTACAGTAAGTATAGGACGCTAAAAGTAGTTGTCATTGTTCCATAAAATAGCTCTTTGATCAGTATTGTTGAGGCCCACTGTTTTTGGTAGGTTTGAGTAAACGTATTTCTCTTTTTCAAATAATATTGGAAGCGTTGTTTAATGGTAAGCTTAGTAAAATGATGAAATTTGTACCGGAACTTGTCGGGAAATTGTGAAGGCAACAAGTTCTGTAGGATTACTTCATGCAATTTCATTGATGTGGTATTGAACATGATTTCAGCACAAATACAGTTTGTCCGATGGTCATATTAGTAAGCGTATGAATGTTTTCTTTTCTTTTTACTTTTGCCATCTGATACGTCCGGAATAGTCGAAACGGTTAAAGGGGCCATTTCCAACATGTGTTCGTCTGTAGGGGTGTCAATTTACAGTTTATTTAATTAAAATTTAACTTCGCAAAAAGTTAATTTAATTTTAAATTAAATTTTATCAAGTTAAATTTAAAATAAATTAAAATTTTTAGAATTTAAATCTAATTTAAATGTAATTTTTTTAAAATTTAAATTCTAAATTTAATAAATTGTTTGGATGGATACACATCATTGCTATGAGGAAAATACGTGACTTTAACAGTAGTAAATACTAAATGAGAGGAGAATCTAGTATTTTAGGTTAATATTTGTTTATAATAGGCAAAATTTCTCTACAGATTATGCAGGATCCATCATCTTTCTTCTTCAAAATACCGGGATACTCATAAAAATATATTTAATAGCACAATTCGTAGAAGAATGACTAGCTTTAACTTTAGAAAACAGGGAACATACTCAAAGTTGACTTTAAATAGTAGTAATCAAGTCAAAAACTGTGTTTATCTACTAGTGTTGAAAATTTAACTAATTTGAATTTCAAATAATTTAATTTAAATTTAGTTAAACTTAAATTTTTTTAAATTAAAATGTGACACCCCTACGCCGAATATTATGTCACTAATCATATGAATTATTAAATAATAAGTGGAAATAAACAAGAATTTATGTTATATTGAAAAGATCATGTTGTAACTGCAAATCATTATTTATAAAACATATTTAGATTGCAAACTAGAATCTATTCAAGTTCAAGAGCTAGAAATATTCGACTAGTGATTACATGTACGTCAAATGCAAAAGAGTATCTTATTTTTTCCGTATGGAAAATTAATCGCTGAATCGCATACTTCTTTTCTTACTTGTTATTTACGTTTAAAATATTACCATAGGAAATCAAATTATTTGATGCAAAATTTCATCCACAATTTTTAAATTATAGTTGTTGTTTTGTCAGTATGAAAAGAACAGAACGAAAGATGTGAGATGAAAAAAATCTAGAGAGAAACTATTCGAAAATGTCATTATTTTGAATTAAGAATTACTAAAATTGTTTCTTCATGTTGGACAATGTAAAAAGGAACACTTAGCGAAATCACGATACAATTTGTTGTTCGCCTCAATCGGTACTCTAAACTTGAGCAAAAACAGTTTCGTTTAATTTTTCTTTTTAGAAAGAAAAGAACGTAAACAAGTTTCATCTTGCGCTTTTCGTTTAGTATGTATGCTGCCTACGACAAAATTGAGTAAGTAAAATATATTGTCGAAAACTAATCATAGAACAACAAACAAAGAATTGATAAAAGAAAATTACTAATTATGTTCTCATTTTTAGCGATAAGAATGTACCAAATAGAAAACGTGTTGTAATAAGTCGATTTGAAATTGCATCAGAAATTAATTCCAACGTGACAACAATTCATCGACCATCACCTGAGAGTCCACAAATTAAAGAATCGAATTCTATTGCCGAATACATGTACAATGATGATGAAACTCAAAGAGTTGGTGAACATATTCTTTTCATTTACTTTGATCTGCAACCTTCATCAAATCGAGATTTTGTTGGTCCACTTCGAGCAATCAATGAATATGTTCAAATATATACAGATTCTGCTACTTGTTTAGATTTTTTAAACTCGTCAAATGAAAAAATCTTCTTTATTTCTTCATCGGGCGATAAACAATTCATTAAAGAAGTTCATGATTGTAGAGCTGTTGAGGCCGTATTTATATTGGACTCAAATATAAAAATAGATAAAAATAGATTTCCAAAGTTATTTGGTGTGTATGTACATCCAGAACAACTTCTTGCAGCATTGAGAAATGCATATGAATGGTTTGAGCAGACACAAATGAATTTTTTTTCATTTGAGCATGAGAAAATATTTGTCTGGTCACAATTATGGAAAGAAGCAGTGAGTAAAATCATAATTACAAAAGAAAAATATAAAACCAAACATTTTTATTTATTTTCTTTTAATACAATACTTAGTTTATAAACTCATCGGACTCATGTGCATCATCTGACAAGCAAAAACTTGTTGATGTAGCCGAAAGATATTATCGAGGAAATAAAAAAATATTAGATGCTGTGGATAATTTTGATTGTGATTATGATAGGAATGATGCTTTAAAATGGTGTTTTTCTGCCCCATTTCCATCGCGTTTTCTTAGTCATGCGCTTAGCACTCGAAATCCAAGATTTATCGATCTTTGCCGTTTTCTTATTGTTGACGTATCTTATGCTTTAAAAGAATCGACAGATTGTAAATCGAATTATCAAATTTTCAAAGGTATAAAAATGACAGCTGAACTTTTTGAGAAATTGGTGAATCATATTGGCAAACTCATCTGTCCAAAAGGATTTTTTACTTGTACTACATCTAGAATAGCAGCTTTAGAACTTGCTCGAGCACCCGATTATCGTCCGGATCTTAAACCTGTTATATTCAAACTTAATTATGATTCATCAGTTCCCATGGGTCAATTACTTATGAAAGATACGTCCACATTGGTGGTATTTGATGTTTATACTGCTTTTCGTGTAACATGGATTACTCGTGGTCCAGTATCCATTATAGACTTGGAAGCTGCAGATAAGGACGGACGCAATATGGCTCTAGATTATAAAGCAAGATATAAATCAGCGAATGTACAGGCGCTACTTAGTCAACTTTTGGTTTTTCCAAAGCCTCCTCCACGATTACCACCAATTAAACGATCACAATCAACGTCAGTAAAGCGAAGACCTAGAATAACAATTAAGAAAGTTAGGTAAACTCTTTCAATTTTCTATGACAAAGTATTTCTATACCATGAAATTCATCTTAGCCAACCGGTACTTACTCAACAAGAGATAGACGCCCAAAGAATGGTAAAACGTGGTGAAGTAGATCAAGCCATAACTCTGTATAGAACTTCAAAAAATAATCCACCTCGTGCTCTGAATGATCTCGCTACATTGTATGCTGAGAAGAAGGGAAACTATTATATGGCAAAAAAAATTCATTTGCAAGCATTGAAAGTTCAAGAGCAGGTACATAATTAATCTGTTTACATTGACGAAGAAGCAATCGGAACTCATAACTACCGTTTGAGCATCAATAGAATTTATAAGTGTGTTTTGATGAGACTAACCAAATTCTTAAAGAATTTATTTTTCTAAATTTTTGATTCAATTTTGATCCAAATGTATATAGAACACTATGAAAGTTTGAGCTGCAAGAAATTTTGCTGTTTCAAGATATTACACATTTTTGATTAAAGCTTCTAGAATATTCGAATACTACTAGAATTAAATACAGACAAATTTTTTAATAAAAACTATACTTTTTAACACTTTAATATAAGACATTGAATTGAGTTGAAAATTCAGTAAAAACAAGTCATAATTAAGCTGCAATAACTCATATGAAGTCACTTTTTAGGCTTTCTCTAGAATTAGTAATATATTATGGTAAGCTAGATGTGGACTCAAACGATAGATAAGAGCTCGGGCCATTTGCTTCTAAGAAAAATCACAAAAAAAACATAATTTTATTTTTCAAAGAAAGGTGAAGATCCAACCGAAACATTAGTAAAACTGGGTGTCGTTCATTACAATCGTTATGACTATAATCAAGCTTTAGAATATCACTCGCGAGCATTGAAGCTACAACACGATAATCAAGAAGCTGATAAAGTATTAATGGCCGACAACCTTATTGGAATGGCAAATGCTCACTGGGGTAAAGATAATTTACCTGACGCGCTAAAACATGCCGAAGAAGCATTAAAAATAAATGAATCGCCTGAATATAGAAATGATCTGAATTTGGCTGTGAACTTAACCATTCTAGCGAATATACATCATAAAGGAGGAAACGATGCTCGAGCATTTAAATTTGTTCAACGGGCTATGGCTATTCTTCAACGTTCTCGTTCTCCCGACTCACTTACTTTAGCATCAATACTAAATAATTTAGGAGCAATTCAAGTGGCATTAGCCTTGTACTTTGATGCTCATACCAGCCTTAACAGGGCATTGAAAATTTGTAAAAAAATTCTACCCGAAGGAAATCCAAAACGCGTTGTAATCGAAACAAATATTAAGCGTACCAAAGAAATAATAAAACAAATTGAAGCTATTGAAAATAAGAAACGTAAAAAGCATAAATAATGTTGTTTCTTGATAATGAAATGTATTATTGTAAAAAAATCAATTAAAATAAAAGATAACACATTAAATCGTTTTCACCAAGGTCAAATTCTATTTCCGTTTTTTTTCTTTTGAGTAGACAAGGCACTTATTCAAATAAAAATGAGCATAGATAAAAATATTAATTGCATAACTATTAATTGGAGAATTATATCTTGTTTGAGTCGAACTTTCACTAAAAAAAAACTAGTTCTAACCATATTGTATATTATGATAAGCATTAGTGATACTTAGAATGAGTTAAATATCTACTGAGAACAATCGTGGATTCTCCAACCATACTCTAACCACTTTTAGAGTAAAAACATCCGAGAAATAGGATGTACCATGAATCCAAATGTTAGTCACTTATTTTAAAATTACCATTAAATAAATGCGGAAACATCGGATTTGCATCCGATTGTTACGTGTACCGCAAAAACTGAGTCGATTTATATATATTTTTGAATAATTCTGAGAAAAAAAAAGGTTTTTGAAAACATCCCTGTACCCCACCCCCTCAGGAATGATCTGGTCAATGATGACAATTTTTTCGATAACTTAGCCATTTCTTGACGGATTTTTCTCATCTTCGAACTCGACTGAGATATTAATGAGATCATTCTGTGTAAAAAATTTCATGACAATTGGATGAGGCTTTCAAGAGTTATCGTGTTAACGCCGGACACACTGACCGAATCTATAGTGTACTCACTTTTTGAGTACACAAAAAAGGATATGTGCGGCAAATATATTTAATTTTCTATCAATTATTGTTGTTTACTACAGAACTTACTGGTGAAAACTATAGATTATAAATACAAAAATTTACCGTTACTTATACTATATTTACTTTTCCTCAGTGCGAAATCTCAAATACGTTAATATAACAGTTATATATAAAAAGAAATGAAATTTATCTAATAATGAAGATTTGATTTTATCATATTCCTTATGTGTGGCAGGCTTCTACTGTTCTCGTACACAATTCCTCATCGATCAATATTTTGATGTAATTTGCCGCGACGCCAGAACGAAAAGAAAAAAGAATTAACGATACAAAAATCATCGAATGAATGAATTTTTGTGCACTCTAAAGAAGAAGAAGAAAAACTTCTTTTTTTTCTTCACTAATGAAACGCAGCAATAACCAGATTGAATGTCTGAACCATGGAAAATATATTGAAATCATCATACCACAGAATCACAAGATGATGATTAGAGTCTCTGAGGTCTTTACTCTATACTCGTACAACTGTACGAAATCAAAAAGAAGAAAAATACAACTTGAACGAATGTGTATAGTTGGTTCGGAATTGATTTTCATAATAATTGATTGTAATTTTACAGTTCGTTTTGCATCATTAGAAACTGTTCATAGCGTGCTTTTCTTATTCTATAAAAGATAACGAGTTTGTCGAGATATTATAAATGGAGTAATTTTTTACCACTTGGTATAATTTCATGTACAATTTTTGTACTTGAAGTGCATAGAATAACAAGATATATAACGTTTTTTTGCTCTATTATGAAACTACTATTTTACAATTTATATGAACCTGCTCGAGAGAAAAGCAAGAAAACGTTTTTTTTACGCGCTCTAATTGTTTTATTGTTTTGTTGAATATGTGTAAATAAAAACGAAAAAAATCAAACTTTTATATGAATGCTCTTTTTATGAAAACGATTATAAATCACTTTCTAATAGTATAGTTTAGCCCAATATAGCGATGCATATTGGTGGAATTAAACTCCTGAATAGCTTTCTATATGCTATGCATTTTAACTAATTTAATGATAAATATTCTTATTTCCCTAGACTGAAAGGATAGGGTCTAGAAACCGTAATTCACCTGTGTCTGTCTGTCTGTAACACTGGCACAAATGACTGTTTCTGTGGTCATTTGTACCACAGAAATGGTCGTTTGTGCCATGGAAATGGTGTTTTGTGCCAGAGAATTGGTCATTTGTACCAGAAGAATGGACATATTTAGCCACTGAAATGACCATTCCTCTGGTAAAAATGACCGTTTCTATGATGCAAACAACCATTTCTATGGCACACTTGGTCAATTCTCATGATACAAACGACCATTTTCACGGCATAAATGACCATTTCCATGGTACAAATAACCATTCGTACGGTACAACTTATCATCCTTATGGTGCAAATGACCATATTTGTGGCACAGCACAAACCATGGGTGGAAGCACGACGTGGTCACGTGAAACAGTCCGCTTTGGAGATGAGGTCAGTGGAGGGGGCGAGCTGATCCCCCTACGGAACTTTGAGCTAACCATCACGAAATTTCTGAACCTTGTATTTGTGTGGCTATGTACGGCTCATCCTCTTCCCCGCCTTAAGGCTCTTTGAGTCCCACTCTGTTCGTCTTTCGTCTTCACTTTTACTGCTTTTACTTGAAACCTTTGATTTTTTTTCTAATTGTTACCTCAGTTTCACTTATTCCCACCTCCTTTACCGGTCTGTTTGAAAATATCATCACCAGCTGCTGGCACAACCAAACGATTTTCTGTCCTGTCCATGCATTTGTCATACTCGGCACTGTCAGTCTAGGGCCCAGTGAATCGACTTTCGATGTCGATGAACATTACTTGTTTTTTATTCTGTCTGTGATTAATATATTCAATGAAGTAGATGCTCACTATATTAAAGTATCTTGTATCTTTCTAAACTCTTTGTGATCATTGACGGTTCTTACATATTAAAAAAGCATGTTTTCTACTTGACGTACCAATATAAAGGCAATATTTGCGCGAACGATTTTTTCTATCACTTCATCAGATCTTAGTTTCACGTCAGCTTGCTGCTAAAAAATTAAATGTCTAGGCTTTTACACACAAATGAATCTATTATTCTTAACTATAAAGTTTATTCTAGATGGTCTTTTAAAACAAACTTCTAAGAGAACATTATATAGCAATAAGAGGTAGCTATCAGAGATGCGATCAGTTAAGGATTTTTTTAAACCGAACCGAATCGAGCCGAAAAAATTGCTAACCGAACCGAGCTGAACCGATTTTTATTTTTAAAAATTTTACCCGAGCCGAATCGAACCGAATTAGCATTTAACCGAGTCGAACCGATTCCAACGGAAAAGTTTGTACAATTTTCAAATTTCTTTAAGGAACTTATGATGTTATTAGGAAGTTTGTCTTAAAAACTGATAATTGCTGTACACTATAGATAAATTCATTTATCCAGCTTTAGTAAAAATAAATGTGAAAACCTTGGATTTAAATCCGAATGTTATGTGTACTTCAAAAAGTAAAATGGTATATTCACTTTGTTTTTTTATCACTAAATTGCAAGGAGAAAATACAGGCGTGCTAAGTTATCGTGGACCACACTGTATGCGACCCTATCCGGTGACCACTGACTCTACTCTCAGAATGATATACTATCTTGAGAAATCACAGAAATTGAGTTCAGATTCGTGTTTAGTTTAGAAAACTGGGTAAGAAGACTTCGTTTTGAATGGATTTGCGTTTGTATCTAGCAGGATTACGATCGTATACGCAACCTCATGAATCTATAAGAGATATGTGATAGATACAGGCATCAGTATTTTCCTAATAAATCACTAATATTAATAGCTATCGAGTTCGGGTTTTTACCTTTCGATAGTCCTTTTGACTAGCTACAAAACCAGGCATTTGGAAAACCCCAAAACTATTGGTCATCTGAGACATATCTAGGCAATTCGGTTTCCGGTTGCAGTTTTTGTGCATTTTGAGAACTTTTCAGGTGATGTTTTGTTAGAAAGCTACGATTAATATACACTTATGTTTAGAGCGTCATTTTTTTGTACTTTTAGTTTTGTTTAATCATTGTTCTCTTCTAAACAGCGCAAAACGGAAAAGTGTGATAAAACGGTTAAAGGAACTTCGAACCGAACCGAAACAATCCGAAAAAATATTTAACCGAGCCGAACCGAACCGATTTAGTTTTCAAAAATTTTTAACCGCACCGAAATCGGTTCGATCGGTTCGGCTCGGCTCGGTTTGGTTAGAAATCGACTTTAGTCGCATCTCTGGTAGCTATTCACTAGAAACGATATGTTTCAACGATCTAAGTTAATTTTCTAGGCCTATTTGAAATAAAATTTCGACAAGCTCATTGGTATTCGTCCAAAATTTTCAGAATTCTCTTTGTCATAGTAGACACTGTTCGTTTCATATCGCTCGAATATTTTCATTCAACCAAACTTTTACACTGTCCAGTTGATATGTTCTTTTTATACATAAATAACTGCTCTACTTTGTTGATATCGGGATTCCGCTTGGCACTAACTGATGAAAAGAATAGAGTCCTCAGTCGTTTAGCATATCTAAAAACATTCTTGAATTTCCCACAGTTTACTGGTTTTGACTTCATAAATTATTCATTAAAGACCATTCAATGGTCTACTTTCAATAAGGTACAGAAATGGCGTCTAATAAGTTCTGATGTGCTCTAAGCAATTCTCATTGCTTGTTTATTTTTTTTCTGCTTAGAATAAGGAAATATTGCAAGTATTTAGACTAGATATTTAGATCTATTCTATCAGAATATCAGCTTTCTATTTCTTACAATCGAAAAAATACAACAAAAATAAGAACTAGTTGGTTTATATTTACAAACACGACAGGTGAAAATTGTCAATATCTCACGACGACTCCTTTTTTTCTACTTACCTACTTCTGTAATCCTTCATTTCTCCAAGTAGCTTGTAAAATCTAAAATATTTTATCAAAAAAAAAACTGAGATGAAAATTATTCGTAATAGGATTTTGATTGATACAATAATAGAAAACGTTTACCACAGCAATATGTGAACGAATAATTGATAAACTACCGAATCAATTAAAGTAATTATCAGATCAAAACAATGAGTAGAGGCGTAAAAATTGGTGTAAGCTGTTTTTTTAATTATATTTGAAGGATTTCTACGTTGAAATCTCGTTGAAATCCTTTTTTCTTTAACATCTTTAAAAAACGACAGAAGCTATTGCACGATTCCGGAAATATCTCATTTATGTGTTGAAAATGCTAACCTATTCTACTGAATAAGTACGCAAGAAAATAGTATTACTCAAAGAGGATGCAGCAAAACTTCTCAAACACATTAAATCAATCATAATGTTTAAGATACGGATCGTATTGTTGATGAATTAAACGAGCGATTACTATCGCTAAACATTGTCTATAGTCGTAATTGGTAGCATTCACTTCTTCCATCAACAATCTGGCTGCAGTTAAACTACCTACATGATCTTTTATTGGCGATCAATATAATCGTACAAGACCACTGAAAACTCGAGAAATGTTTTTTTTTCCAGAAGGATATTCAAATCAAATTAGGAAAGAAACTAATATCTATCATATAAATAAATTAAAATGAAGGAAATAAGTAGTTTAGGTTGATTTTTGAAATAGGATTTTTACATTGCAATTAAAGTTATTATTCAAGAGAAAATACTGAATACTGAATGATTCACTTATGTTTACTGGCTCCCTTCAGTTTTTTGCACTTCAACAAAACCTCAGAAGCTTTTAATTTCTTTAAGATTTGGTAGACTATTGATCATTCTATCGAACTGTATAGTTTTCATTTGATTTATTTCGTATCTTGATAAGAAAATCAAAAAACTTTCTACCACCGGTTGAATACAACTGTTGTAAAATTAATTTTGAATGGAAGAGATCCTTCCAACTTACGGTTACAAAAAGTATTCAATGAAACTGTTTTTAAAATGGACGACATTTTACTAAGCTACAAAATATAATGAAATCAGAACTGTAGCTAGGGTTAGACACAGTCATTAATGCTCTACCAAGTTATATATAAATTTAAAAGGTTTGATCTTTCGTAAAAATACAACAAACTGAAGAAAACTGGTAAACATAAATGAATCATTCTGTGCTCTACTGGTTTACGTAAACATTAACCGAAATAACAGCTCACCGACATCATTATCTGTTCTAATTTATTGATACGGCCTATGATACTTAGGCGATTTTCTTTCAAATATGGTGCATAATCAAAAAGTAATTTAGAATATTTCATTTGGCTCTTCTCGGCAGTGTTAGTCTTCTTATTTTCAAAGCAATAAATACACAATATGTACAGCACCTAGAAAGATCCACCCAAGAACGTAGAGTTTTAGCAATCTTGTTACCATGTCAACCGATATAACCATTATTTCAATCACATGCAGCTATTAAATCGCTAATTTAAAATTTAGAAATAAGTGTTTTTATTGCATTCTAAATCCTAAAGTAGAATTGTCTCTATATGTATCATACTTTTTATGATCGATCGATTGGTCAGAATTTTTCTTTCTTAAAATCACTTTTGTCAGTAAAAATTACATCATATTATTTTTTCCTTCGTTGCACCATGCAGGTGGGAAACAACTTTTTTTATCCCATTTAGTGCTTCGAGCGAAATGGCGGCTAGTCTATTTTGTTTACTCCTATATGATCAATGAATTGCTTAGTGCTATTAGTAGCCTGGAAAACAAAAAAGAAACGGCAAAAAATAATGTAGGATGAAATATGAATTTCAAGAGAACGAAAACGAAGAAAAGCTAAAAATACACAGCATCATCGATTGAAATTTTCAAGGTAACATGCCCGTTCAATGATTGTCATGAACATAGGTCGTGTGTGGGAGAGGAAAATTAACGTTCCAAGAAAATATCTATTCTCCTTCGGTATCTAACTGTTCTTGGAATCTATATGTTATCATCATTCTACGATTCTCAGCACATGGCTGCTATTATTTAATTGAAAGTAAAAAGTTTAATCGAAAAAGAACGAATCATGCTTTGCACCGTTACAACAGCTGACTTACATTCATTTTATTGTGCTAGTGCATTTTTCAGCGATTTCTTGTTGATATATTTAGAAACGTCGACATCAACAAACATTACTTCTGACGCTATTTGTAGTGAGAGAGAAGCCGAAAAGCTGTCTCAGCACTTGTTAACAGTTTTATTGCACTTTTTGAATAGTGTATAAATGAAAAAAACGATGAAAATTTTCCTTCATTCTTTACTTTTACGAAAAAAAGTACCTTAGAACAGATTTTTCATCACTTTTATCCCACCAATGGCTGTTATTCTTGATAAACTTTAGTAAGTAAAATTGAACTTATATCCAATTAGATAAAATTATCGCCTTTCTATCTATGTGCATCTCTAAGTAGAGATCGCAACGATACAGTTTATATTGTTGTTGTCATGATTAATCACATTTTGCCCTAGTAACTATGCAGCATACGTTGTTGCCGAAGAAATGTTTCAAGGACAAATAGCTTCCCAGTCACTATTTACAATTGCTGTTCAAAACAAAATGACGGTTCATTTGGGCTCGCCCGTTACATATTGTTCGATCACATACTGATCACAAGCTCTAATGTATTGTGTTTTCTAGTCGACAACCTATCTTGTAGGTGTCGGACACGAAAATGCTCAGCCACAAAATGAGTCGTCAATATGCGAAGACCACATTCTTTCAGTGATTATTATCTTGTATCCTCTAATGTATTCCTGTATAGGCTCTCATAAGCATTCATGTTCATGTCCATATCTTGAAATGGCCACTCTTTATTCTAGTGCACCAGTGACTGATCCTTGCGAAACAAAAGCACAACAACTTTTGAACGATGGTAAAATTGATCAAGCCATTGCGATGTATCTATGTATTAAACCAGAATCTGCTCGAATTTTCATGATCATTGGTATTTTGTATGCGGAAAAGAAAGGCGATTACAAAGCTGCAATCATATTTTACAAGAAGGCACTCAAAATTCAAGAAAAGGTATGTAGTTTCACATGATTAAAGTTGAATATATTCCTTGTCCTACATTTAGAACGGTGATGACCCCAGCAATGCTTTCACTGAACTTGGCTTTGCTTATCAAAATCTTCATGAGTATGATCTCGCATTGAACTATCATTTTCGTGCGCTCATCATCCGAAAGTTGGCTCAAACAATCGATCGAAAATTAATCGCCGATAGTCTTATTGGAATAGCAAATGCTTATTGGGGCGAACAAAATCTGAGTGAAGCACTTGAGTATGTTACACAAGCCGTAACATTGAATGAATCAGTTGGATCTGGAAATGAATTGAACTTAGCAACGAACTTAATTACATTAGCAAGTATTCATCATAGTCGTGATGATGATAACCGGGCACTTGAAGTAGCGAAACAAGCACTAGCTCTACTAGAATCTTGTGTGTCACATGATTCACCTATACTGGCTTCATTCTTAAACAATTTAGGAGCGATACAGTTCAGCTTAGGATTATCCGGTGATGCTCAACTCAGTTTTGCTCGAGCGCTGATTATTTGTGAGCAGAGTTTGCCTGAAGGACATCCACAACGACTAGCAATCGAAAAGAATATTAAGAGATTAACTCCGATGGAACAATACAATTTGAGGAACTCATTTATCAGTCTATGCAAGGTTTCTTTGAAGTCTCTAATTTCATAGAAAATGCTATTTGCTGATTTCTGCTAAGAAAATAAGCGTATTTGTTTTTTTATTTTTATGTGTTAGCACTACTTAATAGTATATGTTGCCAGTTAATAAATTATTAGTTATCGCAAAATTGTTTTAGCCGGAACCTTATTTTCATTTGAATACGCGCATATTGAAATATATTTTGTTCGTAATAGAACTAAAAAAGAAATTAAATGAAGGGCATAATAAGAAGAGGATCAATCTTCTAGAACACATCAATCATTAAATGAAAAAGAGAGTCAAAAAATAACAATGAACATCATTTAATAGTGACGGAATTGATTCATAGAAACGAGACATAATCATCTAAAATAGATGAATGAAAAAGTCGAATTTTATAAACAGGGCGACCTTGTGCTTCAGCATTATTTCATGTTTTTCAGTCTATAAGACAAACGAAACTATTGAAATTCATCTTTGCTGTTGTTTACTGGGGGAATTGCATTTAAGTATTATTGCTTGTATTTTCAAGGCCTGTATGCGACCTTCATCCATGTATTCGTTTCCAGCATTCATTGCTGTCGCAAATAGTTGTTTTTCGCAATGTTTACAACAACGAGTCACTCACTGTTACCAAGCATGACAACTCTTGTTGATATAGTCACACGAATGTACCGGTACTGAGCTAATACAATTATGAAATTATTCATTGAAGGTCGAATATTGAATTTTGATTCTATCCAAAATCATTTTCAATAATCGATCAATTTTATAAATAAATTTTTATATCTATTAAGTTATTCTTCACACTATTGATGATTTTATTTGGATACAAATGAATTTATCTAGTGTTCTGCGTTTATGACGAAGATAAATTGAATGGCTTTTATCTGAGCATGATAAATATTTCTATAGAAACAACTGTGAAGAGACGTAAGTGAGAAGAAATAAGAATGTCGGAGAAGACGTTTTCACAACGAATCTGAACGATAATGTTCATTTTATTTTTCACAAAAGAGAAACAAAAACAAAAACAATTTTATTGCCATGCCATACAAAATCAATCGAGATGGTGCGTAAAAATGATCACTGAAGAGTAACCAGAATCTTTTCTAGTTTGATTCGAAGTAGAACTTGATGTATTTTAGCAAGTCTAATAGAGTGACGTCACTCATCCTTCGCCTCCATGTAAATGATGTTTACAATAAAATTGACCGTTTTCACTACAGATTTTGTTCGTCATTTTACAGCCGCTCGCTTTTTTTGCATTGATCTAGTTCGATTGATTTAATGAGAATTGCATGGAAGTGTATGGAGATGATAAATGAATATCCGAACAATATTTGAAATCTTATTGATAAAATATCAAATCAATCTTGATTTCTGCAATAATTATTTTATTTTATTACATATAAGAATATCTTGAAGATGAATGTGCTTTCAAACTTTACTAATCTTACAAAAGCATCCTATTTTGACTCAATATAAGCTTAGACGGTTTATAATAATTCTAGCGGTTTCCACATAAATAGAATCAGGTCATTCAACAAAATCTTGTTTCGTACTAGGAAGACTCTTTGTCTCCTGTGTCATCTCACTATGAAACCTCTCAATTGCAACGAATGACCAGTTAAGAATTTTGAAAAATAAACTGATTGCTATTTGCTACTAATTGTCTAATCATATTGAATGACTTACTTTTGATTAATGTTAAAATCATTTTTTCTTAATATATCGGTTACATCAAACTCGACTATTACGAAATATTGCACTTCTTTCAACTAAATGGCATCTGCGTTTCCTTTTGAAAATATTTTTCTTGATGTGCAGACACGTTTATCTTCGGCACATTTTTTCCCTGAATATTGTGAAACAACTTTTGGCACGACAGAAAGCAAGGAACTATTTTCAAGTTTTTTTTAGATCATAGAAATAATTTATATTTACTTTAATTATATTTTCAATCCTAAGATTACATCATCTCAATATAAATTTTTTTTAAACAATCACTTATTATTCAACGTTTGCGTCAATACTTCTGGATTTTTAAATCAAATTTATTACATATCAATATCAAAACCTTTACTGTTCTAAATTATTGCTTAATACGGATGTCATAAATTAGTCTAGTCTATTGAATTTTAAACGAGATGAATCCTAGTCTACTTTGTCGACATCTCAGCAATCAATCAATCAATGCTTTTCTCGAAACGAAATAAAAAATCTCAAAGAAACAACGCAACCAGGCAAAAAAGAAGTTTGAAAAACAGAAAATTCTCGATAAAACATCTGCCAAGTGTCATCCATCATTGGTATGAACAAGAAAACAAAAAGAGAAAATGAAATTTTCGAAAGTAAATATTTATCTGTCAAGAAAAGCGTTTTTTCAACAGTTAATGACTATTTATGAATATCTCTGCTGGAGTTTTTCTTTAATAATCAAGGTATGAATATATTCTCGTCAAAATGAAAATACAAACTTTGATCGAGATATGAAGGAGCAGTACTTTTTATTAAAACACCTTGTGACCTACGTGAATTTAATTGCTTCTTATATGTACGTTGTTCTTCAAGCTTTTGCTGCTAAATTTAGCAATGCGGTAACCAAAAAACATTTCACATGGCGTCAATAATAGGTAGAAACCAATCGTAACAATGATTCAACATATGTACGGTTTTTTTAAAGTTCTGTTCAAATAGAGTATAAAAGCAACGAGCTCATTGTTTTTCTTTCATTCCCTTATTTTACAAAACAAATATCTTAAAAAAACAAGACCATACTATGCCATTCTCAAAAATGAATATTCAAAATGTATTTAGGTAAGTTATATTTTACTTATAAGCAATTAATATGAGAATAGATGATGTTGATTACGGGTAAGACAAAGAATATTTCCGGTTAAGTTCATTTGCTCTATCTTATTCTTCAGTTTTATGTTATATCGGTTACATCAAAATTCTTAAAATAGTCAGATTTACCTTCTTGATAATATGCTATCGGACGATGACGATACCTGTTAACATTATTCTGATAGTTGTGACATATACATACGAAAGTAGTTCTGAAGAAAAACAAATCTATAATTAAGTCAACATCAGCCAAGAAATTTTCAGAAAGTAAATAAATGGCATAACTAAACTTTTTGTCACACTTTAGTTCGTATAAACTCTGTTCCGACACGAAAATACTAGAATCGCAAAATTCTTATTATTCGGCAGTTATTGTTCTATGGCGTCGTGATTTTCAAATTTGTTCTCAATTATCTTAGACATAGAAAAGCACACATTTCTTGACGCTTCTTTTACGTGTAGATGGCATATATAGAGAAAATATGAAACGTGATTTAAGGTTACATTAGCAAGTAACAATATGTGAGAAATTATACAAAACTCTTTTTCTAATTCGAAAAAACTTGAAAAGGCCATTCTTTATTCTAGTGCACCAGTGACTGATCCTTGCGAAATAAAAGCACAACAACTTTTGAACGATGGTAAAATTGATCAAGCCATTGCGATGTATCTATGTATTAAACCAGAATCTGCTCGAATTTTCATGATCATTGGTATTTTGTATGCGGAAAAGAAAGGCGATTACAAAGCTGCAATCATATTTTACAAGAAGGCACTCAAAATTCAAGAAAAGGTATGTAGTTTCACATGATTAAAGTTGAATATATTCCTTGTCCTACATTTAGAACGGTGATGACCCCAGCAATGCTTTCACTGAACTTGGCTTTGCTTATCAAAATCTTCATGAGTATGATCTCGCATTGAACTATCATTTTCGTGCGCTCATCATCCGAAAGTTGGCTCAAACAATCGATCGAAAATTAATCGCCGATAGTCTTATTGGAATAGCAAATGCTTATTGGGGCGAACAAAATCTGAGTGAAGCACTTGAGTATGTTACACAAGCCGTAACATTGAATGAATCAGTTGGATCTGGAAATGAATTGAACTTAGCAACGAACTTAATTACATTAGCAAGTATTCATCATAGTCGTGATGATGATAACCGGGCACTTGAAGTAGCGAAACAAGCANGATCGAAAATTAATCGCCGATAGTCTTATTGGAATAGCAAATGCTTATTGGGGCGAACAAAATCTGAGTGAAGCACTTGAGTATGTTACACAAGCCGTAACATTGAATGAATCAGTTGGATCTGGAAATGAATTGAACTTAGCAACGAACTTAATTACATTAGCAAGTATTCATCATAGTCGTGATGATGATAACCGGGCACTTGAAGTAGCGAAACAAGCATTAGCTCTACTAGAATCTTGTGTGCCTCGTGATTCACCTGTGCTGGCTTCATTCTTAAACAATTTAGGAGCGATACAGTTCAGCTTAGGATTATCCGGTGATTCTCAACTCAGTTTTGCTCGAGCGCTGATTATTTGTGAGCAGAGTTTGCCTGAAGGACATCCACAACGACTAGCAATGGAAGGCAATATTAACAGAATAACCGAAATGGAACAAAACAATCAACAAAACTTGGAATCGGATCATTGGCAGTTTTCTTTCAAGACTTTACTTGCATAGAGAGAAATTATTTGTTACAGTCTATTAAGAAAATAAGCATATTTTTTGTTGTTTTTATTTCGTTTAAGAAGCATAGAACCATTCGGAGCATTTTACTATATTAGTAACCTCGCAACTTGTTTTTGTTTGTAATTCTATTTTTATTTCAATAAATCGATTTGAATATTGTTTGCTAACCAGGTGTCTCGCATAAATTTTTTTTTTCAAATAGCATTAATAAGTTGCAGTAAAAACGAAAGAAATTTCAAGAATCAAATAATTGAAAAATAAGAACGAATAATATATATTGATCATCTTGATATATTATTTCAGTTATTCAATAAGAAAAAGATCAAGGCTTACTCATGACACAGACAATAAAGTCGATGAAGAGATCATGGTGTCTTATGTTCATATCTTCATTTAGGAAAATGTATAACAAGAATTTTCATGTGATACTTCAGATAGCCAGTGACATCATAATATATTATCATTTTGTTATAATTTATGAGTGCTGTTGCTAATCGAAAAAAAAGTTCAAACAATAGGTACATTAGAATGTTGTTAGTTTTGTTTCCAAGGTTGGTTTTACCGTTTCATCATTGTATTTTGATTATACGAAATAAAACTAACGCAATGATAACTATACTGAAATTTTTGTGCAGTGAAATAAACCAAATTGAGTAGCAATGAAATATGTCTTTCGTTAAATTATCAATCTTTTTGATTCTCATCAAAAACGCATTAGGAGAATTTGTCTGATAGAAACTCTTGTGTCTATACTAATCAATATACTTAATCACGTACCTACACTCACAAAAGAGTATGCACTTACTATAAGAACGCCCTTACACAATATCCGCCCATTAGGATCTCTTACAGATATAGAATGTGCATTACACAGAAGTTTTCTTTGTATGAGATAATAACGAGAAAATGCCTAGAGGCAATAGAAATATATCGTATTAGGTTTTGCAGTAAGCGGTATCAATATTATTTTTATTTTCCTCAAAAGTCTTTTTTTCATAAAAAAAATACAACTAGCTAAATTCAGCAGAATGAACGATGAAAATATTCTTTTATAGTATTAGTTCAAATTAAAAATTTCTTCCGACAAGATAACATCGATCGTACATTGGATCTGTGAGATCAACTAAACGTTTTGAGTCATAATCAGTATATATTAACTCATCAAAAATGTTGAATTTTTGCTTTTTAAAACAATTCAATGAATAGACATTTGTTGCTTCAGCATAAGCACCATGTATGTTGAATTCTTCTTGAGCAACGCATTCAATACTTTTTGATATGAGACGTGATGCAAGATCATGACCACGAGCAATCTTGTCAACAGCAATTATATATATATGAAGAAGAGTGTTTGCATTTAGTCGTTCGAAAACTTTCACTTTTCTATCCACATCATTCAGAATTTGGAAAATAAAACGAATTTTTTCATCCGAAACCATGTTGTTTTCCACATGATGATCCTTCGAGGTGATTTCATTAAGACAAACAGCAACTATTTGATTGGTTTCTGTGTCATATGCAACAAACGAGCATTTATCAGATACGCAACTATTAATCAGAATATTTGAAAATTCAGATGTTTCAGTGATTTGGATACATCGCGAAATAGGTTCATCAGGAAAAAATGATGTTTTTAATAAAGAAGCAACTTGATCATAATCATCTTCATGCAATAAACGAATAGCAAATTTCGATGTTGAAGTCATATTGTGTTTTACGTAACCTACTCTTAGATAGTCGTGTAATTTAAGTCGTGGTTACTTCGAGTATGATGATGAAGAAAAGAAAAAAAAAACTTTTTTTCTTTATAATCTTGAGATGAGTCACGCAAAATTTTACTTTCCTCGTTCTTTAAGCCTAATAATTAATGCAAGGAGCAATTGCAACTGAATAGATAAGACAACAAAAATGACGTGACATGTGTATCCAGAGATGTGCGTTAACGAATGATAGTTATATATTCTATCCCGCAACGTAATTTTTCTTTACACCCTTGTTCCACATCGTTGATTACTAATCATTTTGGGCTCGACTCACAACGAAATAAAACGTTAAAGGGTTATAGTATACGGAATTTTGTTCGTTTATTTCTCAATTTGTTTTAGTATAATTGAAGAATGTGCGAAAAAACTGAAAAAAATTGTACATTTGTTTTATACAACTGGTGTAGTTTGGAATTTTTTCTTAGAATCAGCAGCAGGTCCAATGTAAACATGTATACCAATGGATATAATCGAGAATGCACTTAAAGTTCAAATTGAAATTGATCTCCAGGAAAAAACGTTTCTTTTCAAACACCTTGAAAAATGGTTGGGCATAAAATTGCGGAGACAAACATTTACAGTTATATACAAAAAATCGTTGTCTTACGCCCTCTGTCACCAATCTATCTAATTTTCTTACTCATTTCTCCAATCAAATATGATCAATATTCGAACGAATATCTATCACTCGTTTTCCAACGAAATTACGATAATGTTAATTCCTCGTTTTGCATTATCTCAAACAGCAACACATCTATCAATCACAATCCGATGTCCCTATGTGAAGTTTTCTTCATCAAATGATAATAGTAATGGTATTGAAATTGACTTACCTTCTCCAGATGAATTCTACTTTGCTTGTAAACCCTATTATCTTCATTTATACTTACCCGGTCATGTTATTGATAAAGGTTTACCTGATTATAAATATGATATTGATTCATCATCATTTTGTTTCAATTATGAAAAAGAAATACCAAATGAACATTTTGAAGATCTTGATATGCTTACCAAATTACTTAATAAAGAAAATAAAGTCTCATTGAATAGAGTCGAAGAAATCGATAGAGACTTAAATGATGAACAAGACGAAGAAGATGATGATGATGAACCATTATGGAATCAGATGAGACAGCTTGAAATCGATGGTTAGTTTTTAATATTTCAGTCTTCCCTTTAGTTATTATTTATTTATTTATTTTAGATCAACCAAAAGAGAATTTAATTTCTTCATATTCATATGGATTTAATCATCAATATAAGGGAATATTTTCAAATTTCGATTCGGAATATTCTTTAACATTTGATAATCAGTCTCCTGATACACTACCGACAACATCGATTCGTTCATCTCGTTTAGAGAAAGAACAATTGGATTTTAACTATGAACATTATCTAGTTGATAAACATGAATTAGACGATGAAATGTTATTCAATTTTAAATTAACTATAGATGACGAATTAAATGATCAAGATCGAGATGATTTAAAGAATCTTAAATACAAAAAACTCCTGATTGACGATCAAATACCAATTTATTTAGGACTCATTGATATACTTTATGCATTTGCCTATGATCAACGTCTGACACAGTAAATGATGAATTAAGTCCGAAACAGAAATTACATATTTCCTGTTTTTTTTTATCTTATAGAGGTGAACCATGCTGTGAATCTCCATGGAATATTCATAAATTATCATCAACACTTGCCTGGTTTGATTCTTTTACTGATCTTCCATCTGTTTTGATTTCATGCTGTCGTCGAACGTTAATTTATCCACTTAATCGTTCATTTAAACTTGCAAGAAAATGTTTGTTAGATGTCATTGAAATTCTTTCTATGGGAAAATGTGCAATACTTCAATGTTTTCTTCAAATGAGACGTTTATTTCTTGATGAAGAACATCGATATTTATTAAATACACTTTATTTGAATGATTATTGTTTATGGATACAAACAGAATGTCATACAAAATGGTTGAATTCATTAATAGAAGCAATGAAACATACAATTGACTATGAACTTGATGAAAATGATTTAGGATTAAATTTTGAAGAAAAGAGTTTTTCTTGGAAAGTTAACTTATGTGAAGCAAGTGATACTGATGACGATGATTGTGTATCATCATCAGAGGAGCAGTAGCATTGTTGAAGTTTAATAATAAAAAATTGTTCAAAACTACACTGAAGAATACTTTAGGTATTGAGAATTGTAACTAGATATAAATTTTATTAAAATATGTTAAATATCGATAATAAGATGATATCTAAATTAGACTCAAACATTGGAACTATTCTTGATAGATCTTGTGTGTGTTTTAGTAATAAAACATGAGACAAAAAGAAACGAATCTATATATTTAACAAGATAAGTAGTCGATAGTGATATCAATATTTGACATATTTAGTGGAGCGAGTTTATTCTCGGTGATTACTAGTAGTAGCCAAGATGAAATTCAACTTAAAATGCATTATGAAGATGTGAATGTCGAATTCTTTCGATATTCTAATCCCACTAAAATTGGATTAACATCTTGAGTTATTTAAGTTCGGTTTATATTTTTTTGAAGTTATACTGAAGAAACTTCCATGTCCTTAATATGTACATTATTCGCAGCAACTTCACTAATATATCGAAGATCAATCAGTGTTTGAATCCTGTAATATCGGTTTGTGAGAAATAATTTATGACATAAGTAATTGTAAGAGTTCTATGTCTGATAAAATACGAAGCGATTCTCTCTGTATCCTATATATAATTAAATACGATCTCATCGAAGTCTTCCATAAAATCCAATTTTCATTCTATGTAACTGCTTTCATGAACGCCTTCGTAATTGAATATTAGAACTGCTCATATGTTTGCCTCTGGAAATATGGTCTAAACAATAACTAGGATAACTTGAGAAAAATATGTAGCTTTGCCACGTTTTTTTTACTTGATCCAATTTTCAGAGAATAATCGTTCATTGGTTGGAATTTTCTCTTGTTACCGTCAAGAAAAGAATTGCATATTCATTCAAATTACGCTGTAAAAGTCTTGACGTATCACTTTTTGCTAGTATTATCATGAAACAGTAGAGATTCTAGTGTGAGATAGGTAATGGGGACTCGAGCAATACGCGGTTTTCGCAGTTGTTCCAATTTCTAATTAATTGTGGATGAAACTTATTAATCATGAATATTAACTACTTAAATGTTCGTGTTTCCAGAATTTACAAGAGTTCCTTCTTAACGGAGACCTCAATCTAGTGGAATGATTCTAAGTTAAGTCAGTTTGAATAATCTTTGGTCTATCGAGTAAATTTAAAGAAAAGTGCTAAAAAGATGTTGTCTGATTTTAATCGAAAATTATATTTAATATTCATTATTTATCTATTCAAGCAAAAAAAAAGATTTGTAAGCTAATATAGACAGATAATTAAAGCAAATAGATCTATTTCTATTTGCAAGCAAGCAACAAAGCATGGAATAGGGCGTTACTTTTGATAACATACAAGTAATGTTGGTTACATATTCTTACTGGAGATAAGAGCATCATTTTTCGTTGTCATTCTGACAATAGAGACTATTTCAGTGTTTTATTTTCTTTTGCGATGTACTCTTCACACAGTTCTTGCATCGCTTATTGAGACCGTATCATTTCTTACAAACTATGCAACTCGTAAAAGTAAGTGTACTTGAATATCATCAAGTTAGTAATTGGAACATTTTCGTCTATATTTTTTCAAAGTTTATCATCGCTTGCCTGTTAAGTGATCTATTCGCATCGGTTGGTGCAGTAATAAATCGAGAAAACTTAGAAGCTCAAGAATTTCCTCTTAGCTTAGATTGGAGAAGCAAAGGTGTTATAGCACCTATTTACGATCAAGGAACATCTCCAGATGTTGTCGCCATCGTTATGGTTGGTATGTTATAAGCATAGTTATGTTCTGATATACTCAGGTCAACAATGGCTCGTACTTTTCGACTAAAACATTCGTGAAAATGATACAAACTTAGAATCGCATATCTAGTGATCAAGTTTGAGGTCAAACGTTACTCTAGGTTACGAACGAAACTGTGGAAAATTGTCCATCATATTCCTGCGTCTAAGTTTCTAGCAATTTCTTGCGCTTGTGTTTGTATTGAAATAGATTCTTTAAAAGAGCAATCTATCAGAATCATTGGCCTAAGTTCATAATAATAAAATTAATATTTATGAAATATTTGTAGAAACCATCGAGAGTCTACATGCAATCAAAACCGGAAATCTCATCCGTGGAAGTGTAGCACGTGTTATCGATTGTTGTCAACAATACACAATTGATTATGAATGCATTGCTAGACTAGGTGGAATATGTCGTGATTCAGATTATCCTACTACACGTGGTACGTGTGAGCCGAACGCCTGTACTCCTTTTTCAACAGTATGTTTTAAAAGCTTTGCTAAAAGAGAATAATCGTGATACTTAAAAACATTTCTTTGCAGTTCGATAAACTTGTTGTTTTTCGTGGATTGGATGATGAACAACTCTTGCCTTTCATCCAAAATGCAACACTACTCGTCAGTATTGATGCGGAAAGCTTTAATTTTCTAGATTACTCAGGCGGTATGTATCACAAATGATTTATATAATTATGAATTTATTGATTGCATCAACCCAGAAATCTATGATTAATTAAAATATAATTGAAAAGTATCTTGTTCTAGTCTATCATAAAAAGAAATATATTTTCGATTAATTAATAAATCAATTTTATTGTCACCGAAATGAATTGATCATGACGTTCTCAGCCAAGAATATCTTTAATTGATCAACAACATTGTGAATATTTACAGGAATCTTCCAAGATCAGACTTGTTCCTCGACCAGCATTGATGATGTATTACAATTGGTTGGTTATGGTCAAAACGAGATGAATGAACCATTTTGGATTGTTAAAAATAGTTGGGGTACGTATTTGTACTGATTAAATAATAGGATACTTTTCTATGAGTCGCAATAAAAAATATTTATATTGATAGGAAGAAATTGGGGTGAAGATGGGTATATTCGAATTCTGCGCGGTAAAAATATTTGTGGTATTGCTACGCAAGTCTATCAACCGTTGATTCTATCTAAAACGACTACACCACCGATGCCTACAACGACACCATCAACAGCTTCGCGGCCATTCTATCTACAAGTTTCGCTTCTTTGGATGTTATTTTTTTTTACTTTTCATGAGAACATTTTTTTTAATTGGTTTTAAAAAAGTTCATCATTATCAATAATTGTATGCGAATCAATAGAGACGGTACGTTGTTATAGCCGTTCAAAATAATTAGCATGAGTAATGTAAATCATATGAAAAGTTAGCATTCGATTCAAGATGCCATTGGCTATTGTGCTCAAAAACGTGATAATATTCGATTTCAGAAGAACAATAATCTATATATTTTGGTCTTAAAGCTTATTTAATCCAATATCACTGCCATTCAAGTAAATAAAAACCATCAATAATAGACTTTTACGACTTTCGTAATCTGCATTTTTTCTTCATACTATTTCTACTAATTATTGCACGGAAAATGTTTTGTATGATTGTGGTTAGATCAGATCATCTGATTATCAAGTATTCCCAGGTCAATGATTCCGGAGGACGGATACTGTAGGAACAGGCCGGAAAGATGCGGAAAAATCACCGTATCTGGCCGGAAAGCACGGGAAAGCACTGGAAACTGGAAGCAGTATTCCAGTTGGAAGTTACCGGATTTTTTTCCTGTGGATTCCGGTCAGTTTCCTGTGTTTTCCGGTCAGTTTTCTGTGTTTTACATCTGGAAGTTGATCGGAATCTACAGGAAGAAAATCCGGTAACTTCCAACTGGAATACTGCTTCCACTTTCCAGCGCTTTCCTGTGCTTTCCGGCCGTTTCCCGCCATACGTCCACGACCTGGGTTAGTGTTATTTCTCGTTGTTTATTTTTAACAAGCAATTATTATAACCGGACACATTTTACCCATGTCGCACATTCTTTGTGACTATCGCCGGTATACTGCGGTACTCATGATAACCGGCAGTGCACCACGGCAGTTTAGCGACGGTAGTGCTTATACGCTTTGGTTCCAGCTAAAAAGGCTTCCAGAAACCGTTTTCTGTCAAATCCCGATTTACTCCGGAAAAACAATTCGAATTAAGCGAAAACAAAACTATTTTAGAATATATTTTGCGAATTATTATTTTTACAGCGCCATCTTTAATAGAATATTTATCTCATAAATGGGATTGATTTGAGATCTGTGGTTACTACAGGCGGCTCAGGCACATCGACATTAGCAGAGTTCATCTAATTCAACATGATTCTGCCGGTTTTAACAGGCTTAAAAAATATTCAGTCGTTTCTATACTATGCACCAAGGATGCATCAATTTCATGAAAAACCGGGGGTATAGCGCACATTATACCGAACGGTGAACCGTCGATATACCGCCGATTTTTCCGGTTCGAATCACATGGATACGAACGAATTGAGAAGATCCATTCGAATATCGTGACTGATTAAAGTACGAAGATATGCAAGTCCAGAATGCATTTCATTTATAGAAATAGAATTACTTTTATGCAGTGTTATGACTTGATTTAGAAGTATAGTCGTAATCTTTAAAGTAGTAAAATGCTTTTTAACACTGGGAAAAGGCAAAAAACTAAAGATAGGAAGGTATATAGTGTCTGTTTTCAAATAGAATCTGTCACACTACCATGCTTTTCTCTTATTTTTAAATGATTTTATAAGCACATGCGACGTAATCTTCTGTAACTTTTTAGTCCATAATGACAAGGAGCAGTATCAACATTTTAATTTCAAATCGATGCTGACTGTTTTCTTTGAAAAATACATATCAATCACGCAAAAGATATGCAGGAAGTTGCTTCGTGCTGAAATTGTTCAGGATGATTTTTAGAGAAATATATATTTTCTCAAGAATAGTAATGATTATACGATAACCATATATCGTCCAATCTCCTTATTTGTATTATAGTGGTGAAAGTAACTGTATTGGAGGTGCGTTGCTTCTTCAGTAGTTCACAGTTAGCAACTAAATCGTTGTTTGAAGCATACACTCTAGAGATATTGGCAGATTACTAGCTATTCTAAGGTTGTAGTTCATAATTGTTTTGAGACCGCCATGTTTTGGTCAGTCTAATAACATAAATTCCAGTGAATTCGACTTAGTTTTGAAGAGCTATCATATTGTTGTATCACGTTGACTATATATTACAACTAGAGATTACTTTGATCTCAACTTTTGATTGCGATCATATACTACATGGTCATGATTCAACACATAATGTATGAATGTAAGCCTGGTGTCAAAAACAAACCGAAAATATAATTTTTAACTGAAATCAGAAATTCTCAAAAGAATCATTAACTTATGCTAGTATTTAATTAGAAAAAAAATGTCTTTTTTCTGTCAAATGATTGTCATTATAGCTTAGAGAAGAGATATTATCATAATTATGGCTAATCTCGTGTCTAGTACACTAGCTCAATGCTAAATGCACTACTTTCCCCGTCAATTTCGTTTTATGTTGACTATAAATGAAATTGGTCTGAAGAAGTTAGAGTGCATAGACTCGGGTGTGGCTTTGACTGTGGATATGACTCAAAAGAAGGTTGCAACACAGGCGCACACCCACACCCACACTTGGCGTTTTTTAGATATGATGTAGCTATAATTCGCTACTAAGCTTTCTATTCAACGATACATTCAAGGAATTGAAAAGTGTATGCTGGAAGAATGACTATGTGGTATAGCTCTTGAAAGTTGGATCGTTTCGTGGATAAACTGTTTTTATTCGAAGCCTTTTCTTAGTATTAGAACGAAATGAAATAGTAAAAAATAGTCATGCAGATGACATGAATGGAAAACTTGCTAATCATATTCGCTGAAACAATCGATCGTGCACCTGAGCCCGTAGATGATCCACCAGAGGAACCGCCGGAGGAACCGCTGGAGGATCCGCAGCCCGTGCTGGGGCATACATTACAATTGTTTGTGTAACAACAAGTCCAAGTTTGTCTGCAAGTGATGCCTGAACCAGCATTGGTAGTCGAACTTGTGCCGCAATAACTGGTAGAATATTCGCCTGATAAGACCGTGTAATAAGATGTGTAACCCGTACTACTACTTTGACAGCTAGTTGTGAGCACCTAGAAAACGATTATCGATAAAGTATTATTCTTTTTCTTGCAGAGAATGTAAAATTTACCGAGCAGGCAACGAATCTGGAATCATACTGAGATGATATTGTCAACGACGTGTCTCCTGCATTGGTGTTACAATACGACGGAGTAGCTTGGATTTTATTGATTACTATATGTAATAAAATACTTGTTTATCTTACAAGTATAAGTCGAAAATCTAAGCACACGTTTGACAGTTACTTTTATGTTAGCATGTGGCACAACGAGATGATATTGTTGTTGGAGCTCGCTAACAATAATGAAGTGCTTCTACGCGAAAATCCTAAAGCTGTGCCAATGAAAGTACACGGCGATTACATATACTGTTATCACTGTAACTACACACATGCACTATGATAAGATATATGAGTTTCTCAAAAAATGTCAGAGCATCTGTTTCAAAACTACTTTAGTTATATGCACTGCAGTGTAAAGATTGTTCAAATCCCGAAGAATTCTTTTTCACGTTACTAAGATGTTCTCTTCCAGACATATGGTTGGGAGTTATGCAAGAAGAACTTTGAAGAAGAAAACTGATACAATATTGGAATCCTGCACGATATGTAGAATCACGATTCAAGCAATTTTCGAAACGAGTCACCTAGATAGCACATCGACAGATGAAAAACAATCGACTGATATAGAGCTTAAAAACTCCTAAAAAACGTAGGTCTATTGAAAGTGGTCTAACTCCTTCTCAAAAAAGATATCGAAATCCAGAAAAACAAATCATTATGAGTATCCAGTATACTGAACGAAAAGATGAAATTAATGGATAAACATGGATCTCGATTGGAGCTAGGGTGCGTGTGTATGATTCTTCTTACGCAAGCTCTACCACACACGTAAGTATCCATTGGAAAGCCCGGACGGAGGCCTAGGTTCATAGGTTGATTCCACTGATTCGACATGTGCAGAACTCAGGATTAGTGCTATCAAGAATCCCTTATTTCTTCGAGGTCCTACTGATCGCTGTTTACATGTATAGCAAAATGGAATCAAACTTTGAAGGTGTAAATTGGATAGCCTGGATCGAGATATATCTTGATTTATCAACTTTATCTATTGGCTTGTGTGTGCGCGCATCATAGCCGGTGTTGCTGGAAGTTCACGGCTGTTCGGGATGAGAGAAGGATGGTTAGAAAAAAATACTCAGTCGGTAGAATTTCTTGAGCCTTATAATAGTGATTCAGTTCAAGAAATATTCGAATGCTCACTGAAAATGTCCTGCATACGTATTAGAATAAAGCATCTGAAAATTGACGACTCTTTTCCATTGTTTCAAAGTACTCTCACCGTGAGTTGCTGTCGCCTTTGCAACATAGAAGAAATGCGTAGTGCTTGTGTAGTCGAAACATAAAAGACAGCGCTTCCTCTATGAGCTCTATGTTTTTAACTGACTGCACATTCTATGTCAACCATCGTTTTGAATCACTAACAGAAATTGAATAGAAGAGTTGTGATAAGCCAGAATTGATTAAACATTGGTACAAATGACAATTCAACAATGTAATAGTACTTTTAATGTCTTAGAAATTCAAATTCAACTGATAGCAGAACGTCGCAAACTCACTGTTTAATACTGACAGAATGTGTCAGTGGGTGGTACACCTACGAAATAAATAGTTAAAATCACTCATACCAACATTCGTCGAAAAATATTTAGTAGTTGAGTCGCAGAATCAGAAAAACGAAACAAATTCACCCAACTAAACGGATGCCATATATTGATTCATTACCTGTTTTTTACAACCGCATTCATATTTTCGAAAGTTACCAACATCAAAATATTCTGCGAATTCATGTATTTCTTTTTCATTCTGTACTGCTTCATTAAACGCGTCGACGAAATAATAATCAAATGTAAATATTGTGGGTTTTACTCAATTACAGAACGTAAGAGAACGAACAAACGACCGAAGATGAGGGTGTGGGTGTCGCTATGAACTTCTTTAATACTGACAAACCGACACCCGTGCCCTCAAGATCATATAAACTGATTTTCGGGGAAATTTCAGATCGAAATTCCTTTCTTTCAGGCTTTACAAGTTCTAATATTTCGACTACAAGTAGTTGTGTAACTCGAGAAGAAGAAGGATGTGAGTGTTACTGCCTCTTCGTAAACACCCACACCCACACCCACACCCACACCCACAATTTTCATGAATTCTACGTAAATACTCAAAAGAATCGATATCATAATAATGTGAAGCAACTTTGTGTTTATCATTTTGTAGGAAAATTTCAGTTCTTTGTATAAACCTTGTCAAGTGTATGTTCATGAGACTATAAAATCTGTCATTGTATATGTATTGTGGATATGTAAGCTGAAGATGATCGAATAAAAGATCAAAAATGCCAAAACACTAATTAAATGAAAACAAAAACAAAAAGCTACTTGAATCATTTTGATTTCGATTCTTTTGAGTAAAATGGTATAGTTTATATTTTTGACCACTCGTCGCAGACTTTTTATTGTCTGCTTGGGTTTTCTGACTGTCATTATATTCTGAGAAAAATAAATAAATAATTGCTTCCGAGTTGTATCGTTGTTTTTTTCAAATTTTGAATCAAAATTCACTGTATCACAGTCAATTAGATTAATATCTCTAGAGAAAAAATATCACAAGTTGTGAAAGTTTTGTAAATTGAAACAAGCACGTTTTAAAACTAAAAACGAAGTGAGTACAACTATGACATGTGCGACCTATTTGATTCAAATGAAAAATCATATTGAAAAAATATCTAAATATACAAATGTAGCGAGTTTGAACGCAATCATAAAAAAATGACAACAGATTACCTTCACGCTATTTTAGATCAATAGATATCTTCGCAATTTCTCTGCTTTTTCACCAATTCAAGATGCTTTCTAAGTTCTCTTCACTCAATGTAGTTTCGACATTTGCTTCTCTCATCATCTAATTATTACTTCAATTGTTATTGCTCATTTTCATAATTCGTTCAAAATATATAGATCGCTATCAGTTTATATATAAATAGGAAAAAATCCCTTAGTATTTCTATATTACGCCGATCAATCAGCAACAAATAGTATGTCTAATCATGTCTTAAAAATAAAAATAGTAGTGGACTATATTGAACTACTAAACTTCATATTTATGATAAAGAAATAAAACAATTACATCTCTAAATAGTGGAACTAAGAACTAAGCCTATTGAACTCTTAGCGAGAATAAATGGTTTTAGTTTTTTGGATGAGTACATTTATTACTCTTCACGAAAAGCTAAATATGTGCTTACAGCCTCGATTTCTTAACTGAATATGTTCATAAAGAGAAAAAATAATATAATTTAGAGAAATTGATATGAACCATACTTCGAGGTAGTCATATTCTGCGCTGATAATTATTCTCTCACTAAAGATATATTCCATTGAAAAGATGAACTCTTTGATTAATGTTCAAGAATACAAAATATTATTAAACTATTGATATTTTAAATAACACTCGAAACTCATTAGACTCATCTTGTAACGTTATGAGCACTGTTTCGCATAGTTCAATGTAATAAAAACTCAAGTAAATAATCCATGGAACATTTAAAAATAAATTATAGATCCTTCTGGATACTTGATATATTTCTGATCTATTTTATTGATAGAAGAGGTACGAAAGTTTTTTACTCATAATCATACCTATACCCACGTTATTCTATATTGATCTTGGAATAAGAAAATAGTACACAAGATATTTTTTCTTTCACTTCTATTTTTGAAAATAATTTTCATGTGCTATTCTCGAATGATTATTTATAAAAATGAAGTGATAATTCATTTAGCAACATTAGAATTCGTCAGATGAAGTATTCTAACATATTCAATGTTATATAGCTGCGACAAAATCTTTTACTCAAACTTGTCTAGATCAATGATGAATAAACAACATTCATGCATAATCTCTCGGATTACTTTCGTATCAAATGAAGTAGGAAAAGGTTTTATTGAAATATATACTGAGAAGATCTTCTGAAATGATATATTCTTTGGAATTTAAAAAGTTACTCGTCTGAAAGAAAATTAATTATACAAGAGAAGTTTGGATCGTCAATATACTAGGATCTAATCACTTATTCCCTTAATGAGATTTCTCACAGATAGATAGATCTACTTAGAAATTTCATTGAGCTTTTAAGTGTGTTGATTTCTTTTTCAAGTGTTTTAATTTTTTGTCCGAATTCTGTCTTTTGTTGTTCTGTTTGCTTTTGGAGCTCTTCTATATCTAAACTTTGCTTTTTAATCACCTTATGCAAGCTATCAGTCATTGGTCTTAATTTTTCGAATAAACACGTTTTCGTGTGTTCGCTATGTTCATTCCTTGGTCCGGACCACGGGCATCCAACATTCCTCCCTGCACAATCTATTCGTTGTTCAGGAGAACTTTCCTGGATATGTTCATCAAAATTTCGTCTGTTTATATTGGTTTCGCCGCAAAGTCGGCATCGAACTTTAAGGTTATCGAGCATTGAGATAATAAGACGCAGTGTAGGGTTCGGTGCCAAATGAGCAGCGCTCAGTAATTGATAACATGACTGTGATGGGCAATGTAAACCAATTTCTATCTTTTGTTCAATACATTGACCACAATAAGTACGTCCACATTGAGTCACAACTGGATCAATAAAAGGATTATGGCAAAGTTCACATATCAGCTTTTCATCAATGTTCGCTCTATCGATATATTCATAGGAATTGTTTGATGTCATCTGAAAAGAGTGAAACATCATCAAATTAAAAAGATCATAGAGATTATTCCCGGGACGAACAGCAGCAGTGTCCAAGGACTGAGAAATAGGAATTCCTAATGTGTCGAGGAATTGTCAGTGCCGCTGTGATAGTTCCTAGAGGAAATGGGAATCAACTATAGGTTCCCTCACAGTTCCACCATTCACGAAAGTTGCGATATTGCTGTTTTAAAAATAATTTTTGCATGAAATCATTGATTTTTACAATTTTTCAAGTGAAAATGAGTGTAAGAACAAAAATTATCGTGAATATTCCATATTTACCTTTAGTATGCAAGGAACTGTAGGGAAACTGATGAGAAATCCCTAATCATCAGTCCGTGGACGCCCCTCTAATTATGTAGATTCAAAGAAACAGTTACCAACAGAATCCCTAGAAGAAAACAGATTTCATCGTGAAAAGCAAATCAGATGCAAATCGAGAGATTTTTCTATGAAGTAAATGATGCAAAGTTAGAATTATAAAACTTGCATGCTCAATTATCTTAGCTAAAATAGTTGGCGTATTCAAAAATTTGAGAACAAATAGCCTATTAATCTTAAAGCAATGGTTTATTCAGCATCGATCAAGCGTATAACATATATTATCGCACGGCCGCTTCAACGGATAAATCAAAACACAACGTACGTTAACGGAGCACAATATTCGAGTAATTTCAGTCTCGATTTGCTTTCTGATATGTGTTGGGTCTACAAGGTTGTGTTCGATAGAGAATTTCTTCCACTAGCGAGTCGGAATAAATTCGAGGAAGGAGAGGTCATCAGGCAGACAATAGGGTTTATTCGAGGAACACTCACTTTTTCCCATTGAATTCATAATACATAAAATCTATTTCTGTACAAATTCGCTTTGAGACCTGTATTGGATCTGAAACTTTCCTTATTCGATGGATAATTTCATTTCTACTGTATAGTATCATTTTAGATGAGGTAATCAGCAAAAAAATGATGAGTTGGGCGGAGGGCTAGGTGTAAGTATATATATATATATATATATGAGTGTGACCGTGGGTGAGAATGTTTCATATTGGGAATGACAAAGCAATGCCACCAAATTTTGAAATAAGTCGGAAAGTATTGCAGATAATCTATTGTAACCGCATGTCTCATCAAATTCACACCCAGGTGCCCACCCAACTCATAATTTTTGTCTGATGATCCCATCTAAAATGGTACCGTGTGGTTGGAAATAAAAGTCTTCATCGAACAAAATAGGTTTCAGATCCAATACAGCTTTCAAAGTAAATTAGGGCTGACAATAGTTTTTAATGCATTATGAGTTCAATGGGGAAAAGTGAATACTTTTTGAATTTATTCCCATTTGCTATAGGTAGAAATTCTCTATTGAATCAAACCTGATATAGAACCAACATAGGTCAAAGAGTGAATTGGGACTGGAGATACTCGAATATCGTGCTATTTTTTACTGGTCTTAAAACACAAAAAGAAACGTTAAGCTTTTCTTATATCAACAATAGCCATTTCAAGACAAATGTTTCTCAATACTGCGCGCAACGGTTATATAGGAGTTTTTTTTACCATGCTTCTCGTGTATCTATTTCAGGCTGTGATACTCCATCCATCGCTTATGTTTTAATATTTTGTGAAGAAATCGATATGTTTTGAGAGGAAACCGATATGTTTTACTTCAGAGAATGATTGCGCAGTTTAAAATATTCAGTAGTTGACATATTATACGATCATATTGATCACGTTTTCCTGAAAACTCTGTATATGCCTTTTGCACCCCTCTACCAAACCATTAGCCTTCCCTAAGTGAACTTTTATGTTCTTGTTTTTGGTCTGTGGAGACCTTAAGATCTGCCCGTAGCACATGATTTTATTCCTCCACAACTTCAAGAAACTGATGCGCATGAGCAAAGAGGTCCGATTAGAGTCCGTTGATATTTTTAATTTGATACTATTCAATTTCTAATGTGTACAATGATAGAGAATTTCACGCTCTATTACGATTTGCATGTGATTTTGCAATAATTTGTGTTTTCTATTCAAATAGGGATGAGAAATTTAAAAAAATAGAATACAAAATCTCTATTTAGCAGAATTCGAGAAGAAAAGCATCTTTATTGTGTAAGAAATTTTCTTAACAAAAAGATGTAACGCAAGATGCTCGTATATGAATTTGTAGAGAATTTTAAGTGCTATCAAATTATGTAGTTAGTTTCCAGAAAACTCTAGTTACTACTAATGAAAGAATAAAAATATTGGATACGTCAATTTTTTACAGATGGGACCTTTGATGAAAAAGTTGAAACTTTTTCTAAGCTAAAATTTAATCTGCCAAACTTGTGAGAACATCATTCGATGCATCTTGATGTGCCCTTTCAAACGAGAGTACTTTCAATGGATACGATCTCACTGATTCGAATAAGTTGCCCAAAGTGCGTGGGCATGGTTTCTGAAAATTAAATATGGTGCGAATCAAAAATTATTCCTGGATATAGTACTTTTAAAAGTCACAAAAGATAGCCGTAGTCTATAGTATCTTAGGTGAAAAAATCTCAGCGATAACTATTATAACTTGGGAGAAAATTAAAATATACTGAAAAGTACTGCACTAAAAAAACTTCTAATTTTGATTGAGTACCCGTACTTTCAAGTGGTATATCTCGAGAACGGCTCATCCAGTTAAGCTAAAATTTTAGTCTTATGCCTAGCTCTAATGTAGGTATCTACTCCAAAAATAGCAGCCAAATTCGTGAGATCAATTGAGCAATGGTGGTCGTGGCTTACGTGTAATGCCTCTTAGGACCTCGTTGGATTTGGTCCAATGTTCACCGGATTCCAACACTAGGGATCCGTTAGTAGTTCCTCAACTCGGAATCTCATGGGACTTTGTCGGCTCGTCGGATTTTATAAGATCCGATCGGATTCTGTATCTGATTCATTCACCTGGATTGTTCAAATCACAAATTGATTAAATTGATGGCACACTCCTACCGCCTACCGGCTTCATCACCTTATGAAACTCAAGAAAGGAGTAAGATCATCAAAATGATGAATAGAATATTTTACTTATGTTAGTTCGACCAAATTATTTCAAAGAAAAATTCTGAAAAGACGGAGTGTGGATGTGCAAATTTACTTAATTCGTCTACACCAACCAAACACAGATACACCACATCTTCAGCATATTAATTTTGATTTCTTATATGTTTTTGATTAACTTCAATACAGGAATAGGCTAATATAGAGGAGACGTGGACGCTGGGTAGTTTCTGCTCGTTAATACTTATATTACATACGAAAGAATTTCTTTAGCTTTGGGAATATCCCCAAAAAAAGTTACTACTCACAGTCAAGAGACAGAAACGAAAATGTCCTGGAATTTTTGCAGTGTGTAATTGTAAATAAGAATTTTTGTGACTCAGCTCGTTCACTTTGCTTTTCAAATGAATCACTCCCCAAAAATATTTTCTGTTCTATTTCACCACTTTATTGTTCGATTGTTTGTTTTTATCGAATCATTTTAAAGATGAGTGCTAGGAAGAACGCCTGTACATAGCAACAGTACAAACATTCAAGAAACAGTAGGCAAAACATGACAACAACAAAAAAGAAGGCAAAACTATACTACTGCAATGAATTCATGTTGAAATATTATGTTTGCAATTTTATGCAAAGAAAAAAATAGATTCTATAGCATCACCTGAAATAAATCAATGCGTATCATTCATGTTATATTGATCGTATTATGCCAACAGTAATTGGCGTCACCAGCGTTCACCAATGCGCTCTTTGGTGATGAAAAACACCGCTGAATTCAATCTCTTCATAATAATCTTTCGAACACTAATATGAAAGAAAAATTCTCTGCAAATAGTGCAGGGTTGAAAAAAAGATCTTTTATATCAGGATTATGCTAAATGAAAAATTCGTTCTCAATACAAATAATAATAGTTCTTTTTTAACAGATTACTATATAGATGAATACTAAGTAATAAACTCGACATAAACAATTTATATCAATTTTCGAAGTGAGAAAATCATTTGAAAAACAATACGCATTCGTATTTGTAATATATGGAATAAAGTTTCTATATGTCTAGAAAAAAAGGAGTTCGTTTTCTTACTCAGCATTATTGTAATTTTGTCAAATACCATCTATTTGTACTAATAGTTATAGAATTTCATCGAATCGATTTTTTGGTGTGATTAACGACAACTTTGAAGTCGAAACTATGTGCATCCTGAGTGTTTCTGAGATGAACCACAGTGTCTATTTTAAAATCTCATACTTAACCATTAGACTAATTCGCAATTTCTCCGTGAATAAAACTGAACTGAACGGTTTTTGTTAGCTGACTTATAAGTACTTATATATAGATAATTTTATTATGCCTAACGTAAGTTCAATCATGTAGTTATTAGACCACAGTAATGGTGACGATTTATGCAAATACAATAGCTGAATTCTATTGTTATAGGCGGTCATACAACATCTATCAGATTCTATTCGTTTTAAAATATATGAAATTATGTTTTTGATTAACCTAGATATTGAACAATTTAAAGAATAATATTTTTTTTAACTATAGTGCTAATATTTCATTAAAAAGTCGTTAATTTTACTATCAAATGTGTGTGAATGATCAACAATTGATTGACAAACTTATCGTATTGCAGTAATTTTACTGGTAGCAAAAACAAATTGTTGATGTAAATCGTTATCAATATTTGTCTAGAAAAATAAATTTGTTTCCAATCAAATAATGATGATTGTAATCAAACTAAAGTTGTATCGAATATTTCTAAAGTCAAAAACTTAGACTCTCCAGAACTGTAAGATAGTAAGTTCTTTTTTCTTGCTCTGTAAGCATGTGACCTCTCCTGATTTTTGTTGAATTTTTCGGAATTGCAGTCAAAAACACAAGGGGGAAAAAACTCATTCGGGCATTCCCAGTCATTTCAAGCTATTCCTACCCATTCGAATGGCTCGGAGTGAGTTTTCCCCCCTTGCAAAAACAACTCGACTTCACAGGACTCTGCCTATCATACTTCTCCAATGTGATGATTTCGTTTTTGTTTTTGTAGCAAGCAAATGCAATAGCTTACATTTAACGTTGTCATATGTTGGATTTCTTTGAAAGCATTATTTTATGAATTCTATTTAATCAAAGTCGATATAGATAAACATTAATTTCAGTATAAGTGCTGGTGTCTTACTGCATACCTTTAATAATCGAAAGATATTTTCTAAATCTAATAATTTATTGGACTGATGAATTTTATTTATCTTGAAGTTGAATATATTCATTAAACTGATTGTCAATCAGTAATGCTCGAATTGTTAATTCTGAACATGATGAAAATGTTTCATCAATAACGAAATGTCTATCAATATGATCTAAAAACTCGTGACCAGACACTGGATACTGAGTATATTACTTGGTACTTTTGTACTTTTTCTTTCACATTGAGTTTTCCCTTAAATAGCATGTTATTCTGCTATGCCAGATGAGCTGCAATGCGATTTATCTTTGGTCGCATTCTCTCTGAAAATGTGATAACAACCGCTATAATTGTTTACTAGAAAGCACTGCATAATTTGAAAATAAACACAAAAATGAAGAGTAAATGTTTGATTTCAAATAGCATGTAATAAGATTGATAAAAACTATAGGAATCAGTTATAATTAGTATAATGAACATCAATTCGAAATACGTATACTATTCGCTGGAGCGCTTTTTCACGTATATTGTTACCTTCTGGTGATGTTCTGAGAAAAGCGTATGAAAAAATTGACTCGACATGTGTAACTAGTTGAGCCTCTCAATAGTTTCAGTTTTACGATCCCAATGGTATTTTTCTGTTAGTGATTGTTAATATCATACTTAAACTTGCCTGATGCGAATTAGTTATCGAAAATAAAAGATGCTAAAACTCAAACTAGTGTAGCTAGCATCTGTCTATCAATTTGTACTTGCCCAGCGCCTGGTTGATAAGCGCACTGGCTGTGAACTTAAAGAGAAAAACAATACATAACGAAAGCTAACAAGATATTCGAGTATTTTCTGTCTTGATTAAATTCCTGGCTTTTTTGGGGTTTTCACTAGGTTGTGTTGGATGAGGTGTGGTGTGGTGTAATTGTTAATTTGGAACTTTTCCACATGCCCACACACACCTACACCCTCAATAAGTCAGATTGACATGGAATATTATTCTAACATACAAATTGTCTTACTTGAAACGTATAAATCATTACTAAATGTACTCAAGCGAACTAGAATTGATACTTGCGATTACATAGTGAAATAGAATTCACTTCCATTTTGAGTTTTACATATCGTGCGACCTTTACAAATACGATTATTTTAGTTATGAAGCCATCAATTGAATAGAAGCGATAAAGATTATTTGAAAATTGGTTAAAACTATTTCTGAGATGTGGACTCTGAATTTCAAAGCGATGACATTTGGTCTTAGGTCTAGATCAACTTCCAAATTATTTTATTTTGTTGGTCATTGAGAGGGAAATCCAATTTTGAGAGATTGACATAATATAATGATGTATGAAAGATTCTCTTAATCAAGCTCTTTTCGTCGTATGAAAACTGATCACCAAGAAAATAATCAAATAGAACGACAGTGTTTGCATGTAGTACGTAGAAAAATGATGACAAATTCATCTGATTCTTTAAATTCGGAGAACATAAGAAAGGTTTTGCTTATTTTTATTGGAATCACATTCAATAAACAATCTAATATGGAGAGAAAAAGTAGATATTTGAAGTAGAAAAGTATCTATAAGATCTTGATCCATCATTTTGCATTCTTACGGTTGTTAAGTAAGCTTGCCAAGAATTCTTTCACATTGATTGCACCAGCTTTTATACTTCGAACTACATTATTTATGATTCCCTTTCTTTGTATTGCTGCCATGCACCAATGAAATACTTTGCCATCATCCTCTAAACAATTCATAATTCCTTCGATTAATGCATCTACACCCGTGGGTGGATAATTAATAGCTTGATCTTCATCAATATAACTTTGAGAATTGACCATGGTGCAAAGAGCGACATTTCCGAAATAGACTATTCCATTTTCATCTTCACTTGTCTGTAAATGATAATCAGATAAAAGCTCTTTATATTTTTGCAGAACGGCCGTACGTTGTTCTTTCTGACCAGCCCATTTGTTTGTTACTACTAGAGCGCAGAGTATTTTTCTCTCTAAAACACAGAAGTCTAAAATCCATTTTACTTGTTTCGTATCGGCAAAGCAACTTGGTGAAGCACAATAGATCAAGCACAAAGGATCCGATTTAGGTTTCTTCATAATATTCGAAAAATTTGTGCGAATGTCATTTTCATTCCACGATTCGAATCCAGGAGTATCCCAGAAGTTATAGGTATATGTCATACACTCCTCATTAACTTGAACTCGTTCATTAAGTACAAACCGTGATACTGCTTTTGTGCACGAGTCTAAACCTGGATTACTTTGAGCAAGTTTTCGACCACATATCGCATTGATTAGAGATGATTTTCCAACACGAGCTGGACCACATACGATAATATTGAATTCGCTGAACATACGAAAAATCTTTTGTTGTGTGATAGGATCGACTGTGAAGTGTTGAGCTGCTAGCTCAACTTGAGCTTGAAAAGCATCATAACCAGTTGCAAGTGTAGCCTGTCTATCATTCAACTCCGAAGATACGTCTACAGACGATGTGGCTTTATCCTTGTCTAATTCGGATGTATTCAATTGCGGTGGTTTCTCTGGAGGCGCCTGTATACAAATAATTATACGAACTCTTAGACATTTAGTTTTTTTAAAATCTTTTTGTTACATAAATCTGGTCATGTCATTATAGATTGTTAGAACAGACCACTACACGGATGCTTTCTAGACAAGAAGGAAACAACAGACTCCATGACTCCATCTGACTCCGCTTGACTTCAAGAAGATGGAGTGTATCATTTCCCTCTTGACAGTATGACTCAATACCCGGAAGTTGAATTCCCATTACAGAACAAAAAGTTCAGCTTTGGGAATTCTACTTCCGGGTACTGAGTAATATTGTTCTGTTATGAGAAGTCTTTTTGGGCAATTTCCGACAAAGAAGGAGATTAATAACTATTTTATATAATGATACATATGACAGAAAAAAGTAAAAACGTATCAGTTTCCCATTTCTATAATGGTATTCTCGAGATCAGCAGGGATTTTGCGATACTTACTGTGACTCCAAGAGACTCCTCATGTTTAGGTATGACTCCCTGGGATCTTATGTGATTCTATGCAACCAGTTGACTCCATGTGATTCCGGATGACTCCACTTGACTACACCTGACTCCGCGGAGTTGGAGTCTGCTGTTTCCCCCTTGTTTCTAGATCATATTAAAATCTGTGAAGAACTGGTTTTGTAAATCGTTGTAGACTAGTATTTAGATTTCAAAAATACAAACGATACTACATAGATTTATTCTCTATCAAAACTTAGGAAAACACTAAAATACACTTTTGCCCAAGAAAAAAATGATTTGAACGATTTCCTTGGACAATCTCTTCCACATAATATAAATAAACTTACATCTGTTATTTCATGATTTTCCGAATTATTGATTATCACTTCAACTGGTTTAGCCGTTTGAGGAGAATGTCTAAGAGAATAAAGATATTCGATCACTTGCTCGTTAATTTCTAAATAGCGTGACTTACTGATTGCAGTAAGGTTCTTTGTTGAAACTTCGAGCAATATTTAAGCGTAGCAATACTCCACAATGTTTACATCTGAAGCAAGTTTTGTGATATACCTAATACATAATTTGTAATTCATATGACGGTTATAATAGTTCAAACCTATGAAAAAATCCCGCTAGATTTTTTACGTAAAACTCACTTTCTCATTGAATGTTACACATTCTGCGATAAACACACGTTCGTGACAAACACAACACGATGTCATGTCTTAGATATTCTTGTTATTTTGTAATGCTCAAAAAAAACGTAAAACTATTGACACTACCAATATATGACTCCTCGGTTGGTTTAAATTTCATGATTTTTCGTTTTTTTCTGTCTCTCATGTTCCCCATTTTTTATATTGTTATTTTCTTTCTTCGCAACAACATAAGAGAACAAAACAAAATATTCTTGTCTCGCGCATGAAATTATGCTTGAGATCAAATACTTACAAGTACGAACTATAGATGCCTCCTTATAGTTATGCTCTATTGGGCACAACACTACAATAAATATTTACAATCATATTTTGAGATCTATTGAAAATCGATTTCTCTTTTTTTGTACTAATTTATACTGAATGAATCACATTTGATATTTTCTCTTAAAATAATCTTTAGTTTTAGAATTTTTATAATCAGAAACAAAAAGAAATTTTGTTGCATTTTGTTTTTTACTTGCTGTCTAATCAATGTTTCAATAATTAGACAAGAGAGCGTAATTTTGTAGGCTATGAACTTTATGCTATTTTTTATTTTGTCCAACGATTAAATTTCGGTATGAAAGAGTAACGGTAAACATGATCGAAGAGAAATAGAATTCTTTAATTATTTACAAGGACAAGAAACATTGTTTAAAAAGAAAAAAAATGTGAGCGCTTTTCTTTTGCTTTATGGTCTATTTTTTCTATGCCACAACAGTTTTTTCAACGTAAAGAAAAGAACTGCAGCAAGCACAAAAAAAAATTCTCTTTATTAAACTGTGAACAGAATGGATGCTACAATAATCACTCAACAATGTAATGTACTTCTTAATCAGTCAGATATCTCAAAAAGGAATGAGCATCTAAATGAGTTTTTCAGCAGTGTTACTGAAGAGCTGACAAAATGTTCATTGCCAATGACAGATTTCAATCTAATCACTACAATCGTAAGTACTCTAATTGGAATAGATAAAAATCAATTTGGGAAACAGTCACACTTGATGAAACATAAACTTTTGATAATTCTTCGCGATTATTTAATCAAATTCTTCTTTAATCAAGAACAAAATCATCTAATTAATAATTTATCCATTCTTTTTTACAATATTTGCTATGGTAGTGTATTAACTGATGAAAATATTCAATTATTTGTTTACAAACCTTTGATCGATGAAATCTGTTTATTCTATGAGAAAATTGAAAAATATGTCGATGAAACGAAACTCATTCAAGCCAATGGTCGTCTTCTCAAAATCTATCAAAGGATTCACATGTTTCGTTTTGGTTTACAAGAAAATTCCATTTTAGAAATCTTATTTATCACTATTACGAAATGCATTGTTTCAAACTTCTTTATAAAAAAGCTGGAAAATTTACCAAAAATGATGTCACAATTAAATCCGATTGAAATTCTTCTATTTGATAGCTGTATCGAGTTCATGTATTGGCAACCATATGAAAGCAATGCAGTAGAAAGAAAACATCTTTTTACGATTTGTGAAACATTATTGCAAACAGTTGTTGGTTTAATGTCCTCCTCAATTGTGTCAGAACCTTTGATACGACTAGCGTGTTTTATTTCGTTGAATATTATAGTTGGGAGTAACGATAATGCAGCAGATGAAAATACTATTGATGCCAATTATTATCATCTTATGGATTATTGTATATCTATGCTCGATCATCGAGGGACTATTATTACAAAGCGAGCACTTCTGTCGACTTTATGTCATTGCGCCTATAATATTGATATGATAGTTTACTTGAAAAATAATTTACTTCTAAAACCACTCTTGCTAAAAATGTGCGAATCAGATGATACTGAAATATCCTTCAATTCATATCGTATTTTGGCTATTATTATGAACGAAGAAGATATTAAAACACTTGCTAATAGTAGTAAAATAGTTTCGCTATTTTATATCTATTTCATTAGCATGATTGATGATTCCATTCAGATCATGACTTTTCAAAGTTTGCTTCATTCTTTAAAGAGTAAGTTTCGCTTTCTATTTGATCTTGACGTTATTGGGTTTCTAATTGTATTCAGGTCTCGTACAACATGAACAAATAAAAATAGAACTAGTTAAGATAGAAACAGTCCCATTACTTATCCGGTGTGTTATCGAAGCAAATTTTCAAAAAACAAAAATTCCACAATATGCATTGGAAATTTTACTTACACTATCTTTCAATGACGAAGCTTTGAAGGTACTTGAAAAAGAAGTGAATTTTATGAGTCATCTCAAAGTTTTAGAAAATTCAACAGAAGAAACTATACAGCGAGGTGCTAATCATTTACTTTGGCTATTTGATCAGAAAATACAAAGTCCTATCATGTCTAAATCTGGTTCGTTCAGTTCGCGCTACAAATTTGATATAATGTTGAGTTATTCCCATACCGATAAAAAAATATGTTTTCAAATTTATGAAAATCTTGTTAGAGATGGATTTCATGTATGGATTGATCGAGATCAAATGCATGGTGATACAATGGCAGCCATGGCGAATGCGATTGAAAATTCAGAATTTGTAGTCATCTGTATGTCTGAAGCGTATAAACAAAGTCCCTATTGTCAAGCAGAAGCTCATTATGCATTTCAACGACAATGTAAATTAATACCACTCGTTATGAAAGCAAAGTATAAGCCTGAAGGATGGTTAGGCATCATTGTTAGTGGTAAAATTTATGTCGATTTTTCTAAATTTCAATTCGATTCCGCTTATTCAATTCTTAAAAATGAAATTCAAAGAAAACGAATCGCTACTACTATCCTCGATTCTAATAAAATATATCTAGATCCTCATTTGAGAGTCCCACTGTTATCATCGTCATCAGTAGGTCAAGATCGACCAATCGTGTGAGTATAGAAGATTTTTATTAAAAATCTATTTTTGATTATTTTTACTAAAGAGATCTTCCACTTTGTATTGATGCGTGGTCTGAAGATCATGTTCGTTCCTTTCTCAGGAATAACAATTTAACATCGCTTCTACCTGTGTTTCCTGATTTTAATGGTAGTCTACTCTATCAAGCCTATTCCATGTGTCAAGCAGGTCGAGAAAGCATGTTTCAGGCAATGAGAAACGAGGTCGTAACACATGAAACTGTTCCACCATTAACACTTGCTACTTATCTTCGCTTTCTCGAACGATTGAAATCGTATATTCCAATAAACGTGAACGATCAATCACAGCGGCCAATACCAACTCTTTGTAATATTATGTAAAATATGAAATATTTAATTATCTTTATAGGAAGAACAAAAATTAGTAAGAACATTTTAAACTCATTATGACCTATCGATATGTATTTGATTTCGACGAAATGTGAATGTTCTGAATAAAACGTGCGTGTGGGTGTCTCGTCTTCTAGATCTTCGTTTCATAATGCGGTGAAACATTGCCTTTGTAATGCTTTGTGTAGGATAAAGTCATATTTTATATATTAGGAATTAATACTTGCTTTTACAATCTATCTTCCAAGAAGATTAGATGTAATAAGATCTCATAAGTAAAAGATATTCTAAGCTATTACTTATAGTTTCTCGCGACTTCGTTTTTGTAAATAAAGAATCGATTCTAATCTGTAATGTTACATGATTTTAACAGATGAAATCTAAGGAAATCCTCAATCAAGATCTTTGTTATATGTACTCATTAAATTCCTCCTTTTTTGCTGTTGTTAGTACTAAATACTATGGGAGAGCTAACAACGAGTAGCACGTTTTGATATAATAACTTCTGCGATTCAAATTTGATAAAGATCGCTGTTATTTCAGCAATAATTTTTAAAATACTGGTATTGTAATACAATTAAACCAAAGTTACCTTTATTTTGTTCTTCTAGATCTTACAACAATCGAATTTTCACCGTAAAAACTGCATTTGAAACACTATGAAAGTTTTCTCTACTACAACATACATTGTTTGCTATAAATGTTCAACAACATAAACATCGCGTGGTTTTAAATCAATGAGAATCTATCTGACTCTTAAGAGATAGACACTTGGGTGATACAGAGTGAAATATTCTCGCCAATACTGTTCAATATTTTGTTTCACTTTGTCGTAATAAAACTAATACAGCAAGCATATCATCTGAATGGCATTAAGTTGGCATATGCCGATAATCTGGTAGTATTGAGCAACCAAACAGTTCACCTTGAATAATTCATTAAAATTTCGAAAAAATGACTGAGCAATGCATATTGATGAAAGTGTCAAGAAGATATCAATCATATCATTATTCATATAATATAAATAATGAATATTTCGTGCATACATTTTGCCTATCTTGTGGTACGTTATCGAGATGTGGTCTTGAACAATGGCGCAAGAAAAAGGCATCAATATCTTCTACGCACATAAAGTATCTGTATGTGCAATCATTGAGAATAATTTGGATAGCAGATTGGAGTCACAAAATTTTTAGATATCATCAAACTATCGTATATGGTACGCATTCTGCGGATAAAAAGCCTTTCAGCGCAGCCCCGTTGGGGCTAAAATGTAGAACTCACACATTATGAATCACTTAGATAGATACCGACTCGATAGAGGATTTTTTTCAAAATAGAATGAGCTTCATAATGTTTTTAGGAATGAGATAAAAGATAATAATGTGGTTAACAAATCTAATCTATTATACCTAGATAGTTTAAATATAATTGAAATTGTAAATATTAACTCTCAATGATTCAAGCACCATTATTCATTAGCTTTTTTTCTTTATCTTTTATTATAATAATAAAGCATGATATTAACCAGCAGCTTGTTCGATATATATCAAAAGTTACAAAATAGATTTAGATACTCTGCTCTAATGTATTGATTTTGTTGTTTAAGTAATTAAGTGTTTCGATGACATTTTCAAGCGGTTAGTTTTAAAATATTTTACATCTATATAGAACAAATGAATAATAAAGATCCAAATAGTTTATAATTCATTATCAACAATTAAAATAATGAATGCGATTGGTTATGGAATATTTTAACGGCAACACAGTTCAATTTATACAGTAAGATTTTATCTGAGATTAAAACTATGAGATAGTTATTGAGAAAAATTGTCTAATTCGATGAAAGCATAGAATTTCTCTTATTTTAATAAACTATAAATAATCGTTGACATATTTTTTAATAAAAAAATACCCATAACTTAGAGTTCGATTTTGTTTTACATTATTGAGATAAAATATTACTCATAAGAAATGTTTCATATCTATATTTTTGATATGTAAACATTGTTTTCCCTATTAAAAAAAAAACAGATTAATCATTTCCTTTTTTTACTCATTTTTGGGTCTGCAGAAATTCAAAAACAAATTTTTTAACGAATTATGTTTTCTTATCGGTATTTTTACAGTCAGTGTCTATCATAAATTATTTATTTCTACTTTATTAGAGTATAATAAAACAGTAAATCATTTTTGAAAACAGTTTTCAATGTAACTTAATTAATGGTAGATAATGCTTAAAATGTCTAATCATAGTAGATAGTGGTTGCTAATGAGTGTAGTAGTAGTATACACTGGTTGCTAGCTTCTGGGATGGTAGCATATACTCGTTGCTAACGTCTTTAATAGTAAAAATATGCCATTCAGTCGTAACTATGGACTAGAATAATAAAAACGACATATTTTGAAGATTAATTAGAGATTAAATCCTAATTATAACGATATCTAATTAGTGAAATTAGATTTTAATTATTGATATGAGTAGTAGTGAACACGGGCAATCGACCTGTACCAAAATTTTAGCTAATTCGCCCACCAAAGTGTTACTTTTTTATGTTTTATGTCTGTAATGGGGGTGGAGGGAGTACAAGGGGAGCCGCCAAAACCTTGCACTTCAACTTACACTCACTAATTTCTTCCAAAAATATATGTGAGTTTCAAAAAACAGCTACGATGGTTTACATATACATTAATAGAATGAGCACTGATGAAAATTATGTTCTTGTATTATTCAGAATCGAAGAGATCACGAATCATCGATATGGAAAACAGATAAGAGAAGTCAAAATGAGGGTGTGGGTGTGGGTGAAGAATATACCCTAATCGAAACCCACACCCAAATATGTTCACTCTGAATTGACTGAAAAGGCAGAAAAGAAAAACGCCGAAAAGGAAAATGCCGAAACTGGTAATTGCTGAAGGTGAAAACGTCGAAAAGGATAGCGTCGAAATGAAAAAGTATAATTAATAAAAGTGTCGAAGAAAACCAGCTAGAGGAAAAAGTGGAAACATTTTGAAAAGGAAAACGTAGAATGAAAAAGATGTATATAGATAACGAAATTTTTTTTTGAGTTGGTATTGGTTGTTAGTGGGATAAGTTAAATTCGTTGTCCTCGTCGTCTATAGTCTATACTTGTTCATTGTTAGCATATACCATATATATAAATCAGCCTGGCGAGAACAACTAACAAATAATTCTCTCTTCAATCATTGGCAATGGACAGTGAAATATCATTCTTAATGGCTAATAAAAGTAAACCATTACTAGTGTTTAACCAATATATGTTTACATGCAATAAAACGTCCTGATCAAAAAGGTATTGGGCTTGTATTGAACATAGATGTGACGTATATGTGCACACCAATTTAGAAAATAAATTTTTCTTTTTCTTTAAAATTATCAAAAAACTCAATTTTAGATATTTACCCTTTCGGCTTTTTTCTTTTTCTGCTTTTTTCATTCGACGTTTACAATTTCAGTATTTTCCCCTTCTATGTTTGCCTTTTCGACGTTTTCCCTTTCTGCCTTTTCCACCAAAACATTCGCTCTGAATTTATTGTCGAACAAATATGTATGTTTTCTATAAAGCAATTCAAATAAGTCGATGTAAAACACCTTTTTAGCCAATATTGTTTTGCTATTTATTTTTGCACAACTATCGACAAGAATTGCAACATATTCCATATTTTATTATCAGGTGACACCTGAGCAACAAGAATAATTCAATTTTGCTTTTGACATGAGATCATGAAGCAAACTTTTAGATGATGTAATGAATACTCTATTTTCTTAGTGAGTTAAAATACGATGGTGCAATTTTTCATCATACCAATTAATCTTGCGCAAGTGCGTAATCTAACAAGCGTCAAATATTTCGTTCGAGTATAAATTGCCTGAAAATTCTTCTCCTTGTTTACTGTTTCAAATAATATTGGTTCGAACTGTAAAATTCTCTTATTTTAACAAATATTATCAAAATTTTGATATTTCATCATGGGTAAAGAAAAGAAGCGTATAAGCATTGTTATTATTGGTCATGTGGATTCGGGTAAATCAACATCATCTGGTCATTTGATCTACAAATGTGGTGGAATCGAAAGACGTATGATTGAAAAATTCGAAAAAGAAGCTGATGAAGTATTTAATCTTTATTTCTACTTTGATCAGACTTTCATAGCTCAATTTTTTTAAAATTATTACTAGATTGGCAAAGGCTCATTTAAATATGCTTGGGTTATGGATAAAGTGAAGGCGTCTCGAGAACGTGGTATGACCGTGGATATCTCGTTATGCAAATTCGAAACTGAAGCATCGGATGTAACTATTATTGATGCACCAGGTCATCGAGATTTCATCAAGAATATGATCACAGGTACAGCACAGGTATGAGATTTGTTTGTTTCTCGTCGTCTACAGATTGATTGATTCCTCTATTTTCTTTTAGGCTGATTGTGCTGTTTTAGTTGTTTCGGCTAGCGTAGGTGAATTTGAAGCTGGTATCTCGAAAAATGGTCAAACACGTGAACATGCTTTACTTGCATATACATTAGGTTTGAAACAAATGATCGTTGCTATCAATAAAATGGATATGACAAAACCATCATTTTCGGAAGCACGATTCAATGAAATCAAAACCGAGGTGTCAGCATACATCAAAAGGATTGGCTATCAACCGGAAAGTGTTGCTTTTGTTCCTATCTCTGGATGGCTAGGTGATAATATGATTGAACCATCTGTAAATATGCCGTGGTATAAAGGATGGTCAGTTGAACGTAAAGAAGGCACTGCTACAGGCCAGACACTGTTGGAAGCTCTCGACGCTATTGTGCCTCCACATCGTCAAACAGACAAACCGCTTCGTCTACCATTACAAGATGTGTACAGAATTGGTGGTATTGGCACGGTACCTGTTGGTCGAGTTGAAACTGGCATACTTAAGACTAACATGATTGTCAGCTTTGCTCCATCGAATGTGTCGGGCGACGTTCGATCAATCGAAATGCATCATACTGAACTTGATGGTATATTTATCTTAGTTTTCCGTTGTCCGATGTTTAAAAAAGTTCGTTTTTTTAATTTTTAGAAGCTTTACCTGGCGATAATGTTGGTTTCAATATTCGAGGAGTCTCTGTAAAAGAGCTTCGACGTGGATATGTTTGTTCGGATGCAAGAAATGATCCAGCACAAGAAACTTCTAGTTTTATTGCTCAAGTAAGTTTTTTTGACTGGGTTGTTTTTTAGCAAAAGCATCGTTTGTTTTCACAGGTTATTGTGCTCAACCATCCGGGCCAAATAGCTCAAGGTTATACACCTGTTCTTGACTGTCATACAAGTCATATTGCGTGCAAATTTGCTGAATTGATTTCAAAAATCGATCGTCGATCCGGTAAAGTTATTGAAGAAGCACCACAATATATTAAATCAGGTGAAGCTGCAATAGTTAAACTAATTCCAACAAGACCAATGTGTGTTGAAAAATTTGCTGACTATCCACCATTGGGTCGCTTTGCTGTGCGTGATATGCGACAAACAGTAGCTGTCGGTATTATTAAAGATGTTGAAAGAAAACCCGCGGCATCAGGCAAAGTAGCCAAAGTGGCTGTTACCTCTGGTAACAAGAACAACAAAAAATAGGATGAGGGGTACTTTCGCAAACCCGTGTCACAACCAAGCAATGTACTTATACAACAACATAAACAAAAACAATATCAACAGTTGAGTGTAATCGTATGTCTATTTCTGGAGACTCATTGGGAACGGCGACGAAAACAAAAAGATGTTTACTCTTGGAGAAATTCTTTCTCTAGGGGTAATGTTTATTTTGTTTTAGTCTCTTATTGTTTCTAGTCGTTATTCAATCGGTTTTTACTTTTATCTTATCATAATTTTTATTTCATTGCTCATTTAAGATTAGTTGTGATCAAACATTTTCTTGTGTTTGCGAAAGGTTGTTCTCTTTATCGTCTTTCTTGTGTTTCTGAAACAAATAGAAGAAGAAAAAAATCTTTATAACAACAATAAAAAAACGATATTCCAACACATTTTGACCTCAACGTCTTTTATCGAATACTCGAGACTTTTTATTGGATTTTGCTATTATAATTGCTTATCAAAAGCAATACTTTCTAATAAGAAACGTTCACTTAAAATGGTAGAATTCATGTCATTCATAGACAATCTGCCAAGTATACGTAAATATTTGAATAAGAATCAATGTATGAAAATAGCTTTATTTTTAATATCATTACACACACGATATTGCTTTTTTCTTCAGCATATCAATGTAAAGCAACATGAAAAAAGGCGCATGGATGTGAGAGCGTGTTGAACAGAATTTTTATTTTATTTTCATTTTGACTACAAAAGCTTGTAAATAATTAGATCCAAGTTAATTTGGATACTCTAAGTAATTCTAAATAATTTCAAAATATAATTTGGTAGTTAAAAGTCAAAATACACCATTTTCTTCATGCTTTTATCCTACGATGACATTTCAAAGAATGCTATCGATCGGTTCAGCCAAATATAATCAATATGTTATTTTTTTAACTGTAATCCTTTTCTTCATTGTTTGTGACAAATATTTGCTCATTAAATCCTATCTAGTATAATTCTCAGTCAAATAAATACAATTTTTGTTGTTCTTAGAATTACTTAGAACGAGAAAAACAAAAGATACTTTTCGCAGTAATAATAACGTATATATAAATAAGTCAATACAACTGTAACATTACTCTATCAAAATCTCTATTGCGAAAGATTTTAAATCGCTCTAATATATTATCAATTTTGTGTGATGTGCATCACGAACTTTCGTTTATTTGTTCTACTACGGTTGTTGCTGATTGCTACAACTGGTATTGTTGTAGTGGAATGCAAGAATAATGGTGTGTATATCGTGACACTTGCGTCAGAATAAAGTATTTACTGAATTATTCATAGTTTTAAAAAGCTTGAAACTTAGCTAATTGACGATAAATATCAATATTTTCTATTTTCTCAAGGTTGGCCATTGAGTGAGTCTGGAACAACACAGACTAACTGGACTGGTACTTGGCACGGTGTACTTGAAGCCTATCCAGAAGGTGAACAAGGTTCTGGCTGGAATGTGACACTAGAGATCGGACCCTATCCAATGACGGATGGGGCTTGTACTATTTGGCGAAGTACTCTCTTAGAGAATAACATTCGACAGGGATTGAAAGACTATCGTTTCTGTCGAGGCCGTGGTGCTGATGATCTATTTATCGATGAAGGTAGTGGTGTGACAATATCAGCACAATGGATCAACGATGTGCTCGTATCACCATTCAAATATAAAGGTGTATTTGCTGTTTCTAGTATGCGTATGCGTGGAGACGTTCTTGAAGAAGAGATTTTAATTACAGAGGATAAACCGGGTATAGAAGATGTTGTTGTGTCAATCAGAGCAAACAGTATTCATCTTATGAAAATGAGACGAATATCGGCTTAATTGGAAATCATCGACATGAAATAAAACCTATCTAAACAAAGCTTATCTATTGTGAAATATGTGAGATTTCTCATAATAAAGATGCGCTATGTGTAGTTCGTCGCTTTATTGATTTTTCAGAGTAGAGTCTCTGTCAACAATCAAGAATATATATATATATATATGTCATATGAACTCTATCCAAGTTTACAATATCTAGAAATAGCAAGGGTAAAATATTCACCGAGGCAAGATTCTATGCTATAATTCATAGCTGTTTCCGTTTTTAATTTGAATAAAAATGAAATAAGTAATAGTCGAAATTAGTGACGTATTTACGCATTCTTCTGCCTACGAATGATATTGTGAGTTGTTTTCATGGTGATACCTATGACGGATTGAATTGAAATAATAACTAATGAATGATAGAAGTTCTCTGAACTGTTTTCAGTTGTTAATATTCTACGAACAAGGAGAGAACTAATCTAGATTAATGCATTGATTACTATGTAATATAATACATAACACTATCAATATTGAAAGATCCATACACAAGCTATCGTATATCACTTCCACCCGAGAAGAAACAATTTACTATTGATTTGTCAGTGTTTCGTTAATTAATTAAGGAACAATAAAAAAAGAAGTCATTCATTCATGGCATAACTCAAAACAGCTATTGCTGAAAAGAATTTCCATCAAGAATATTCTAATGATAAAAAAGCGAATCGGTAGATCTATCTAGCAGTGGATAATATACGTAAAATTGTGTTGGAAACGTTTATTGAAAGATCAATTCCAAAAAATGAATGCATGAGACACTGTTTCTTTTTTTATGTTTTAAATATTTAAAGGAGTTACATGAGACTTCAAATCTAACGTTATAGTTTTAGAAACCAAAAGAAATCTATAAAGAGCAGCAAATTGTTTCGAGTTTTGAGATTGCACAAGAGATGAACAGTATGAATAAAAACGAAATCATCGCTAGTTTTCAATGTTTCCCATCACCGTTAACCAGATTTTTCGTATATCAAAACGTTGCGAACTAGAAGTTCGTCTTCTTTTCTTTCAGTTATAAGATACTATAAAATATTTCTTAGCACAGTGTTAAATTTTCAAAAATTGAAGAATTTTGGTAACATAATCTACATTAGAGATATTTCTTTGGTGATCATTTTTCTCAAATTACAAAAGGTAATCACCATAGAATTCCATTCTTTTACTGATATCGTTTCTACAGATAAATATAGTTTTATGTGATTAGTCTTAATAAAAGCTGCCTGGGCCACCGCCATCATCATTTGTATCTCCTTGATGGTCACCATCTCCATAATCATTAGTAACATTTCCACCTGGTGTGTTATCTTGGTCACAGTCACCACTACATGCTTCATAGAATTCATCTTCATCATTATGGTCGTGACAGCCTTGTTCATGCTCGAATCCATCAAAACATTCGGGTTTTTCATGATGATCCTCCCACCCGTGTCCACCACCATAGTGTGTATAACAAGGACAATCATTATCATGATGATGATCGTGACTTTCACAGCATGTGCAATCTACCCAACAAGATTCAGGATCATTAATATGAGAATAACCTGAACCTGGTATCACAATGTAAGTTGGTCTATTAGAAGAGGATGAAAATATAGGTAGTGTTGGTTTATTTATTCTAAAATGGCTTCCAGATCCAGCTACTTTAGATTTGAGATTTACAGCCACGGGTTTAGGCACTATCGATTTTATTGGTTTGACAACATTCGATTCGGAGTCTTCTTTTCTTGATTGAAAATAAGTAACTATATCTCGTTCCAAAGCAATCATACGAACAGACATTTGAAGCTTTCCAATGTTACGCCTACTGACTAAACCAATGACATCTGTTTCAGTATTTCTTTCGAGATCTTTTGAGGGTGAAAACTGATGCCGTTCAAGAATAGACCTAGAAGGTTAAGGGATATTTAGAATTTAAATTTCACAGCAACAAGTTTTCCGATTGATATTGTCTCGTTCTCATATTATCGAAGGGTACATCCAGAAACAAGCAACTAAGTTTTTTTTCAATAATACTTTGAGGATGTCACGTGCGTAAACCGTCAGAAGGAAGTAACCATCCTTTCTCGATCTGTATCTGCTTACTTTACGTTAATCTCCTATTAACACATTGTGCATTACAAAATAGAAACACAGAAAAAGGATCGTCACTCGTACATTCAATTTATATTTATAGTAAAAATCTACGTACCATCTCTCGACGTAACCTCTGTCATTTCTACTTCCATGCCAATGATGCCAGATGTTGATAGGTACATAGCCAACATTACGACCTCCTTGTGCCAATTCTGCTACACGCTCACCCCAAGCTATAGCTAACTGTTGATAATCTTTGTGTAAATTCTTTGAAAAAGTTTCTCTGATACGATTCAATAGTGCAAAGGCTAATTGTAAATCTCCTGAACCCATAATAGAAAATTCGAATAAACCACCAATTGAATTAAATGCTGTTCGACGCATGGCCCAAGCATATCCTGGATGTGGATACCACTCTTTGTATCGTCCAGGATCAATCGGTTTGTTATGTTTGATTGAATAAACGAACGAATAATCACGTCGTAAGATTTCATTCTTTCCATTGGGTCCAAGAAAATTTGCCGTTTCAAACAGTTGTACAATAGGATAACGTTTTAATTCTTCAATCACCAGATGAGGCCAGTTGAGATGCTACAATATGAATCATAAACCAAAAAATCAAAAGGTAACGATTTTGATACATATACTATCTGTTAAAGAAATGAAATTCTCTGCAATGGTAGCTTTATTTCATTTTCGAAAGTAATTACTCTTAAGATTATTTCATATGAGATGTAGACAAAAAAAAATGAGAAAATCTCTAAAGCGAAAACTGTCAGCTTCTATTTGTACGATTCTCAAACCAATATTACCAGAATACCTTATTGTATTATCACACTATTTTCGTTTTTATAGAGGCTTTACTTCGACAATGAGCATGACAACGGCAAAGTTTCACCTTATGCGGATATGTTTACTTCGTTCTTGCACGATAGTTTGCATATGTACTATTGATTAGATGTAACTCTTGCATATTTGCATGACACTTGAATTAAACAAATTTCTACGTTGCAGCAAGCAAAGTAGACTCTTGGTCAATGAGACGAATGGTTAAGATTCAATCTAATTCTAAATAACTTACGTCAAATTCAATATCAGTATCGATCCACGCAATATATTCAATATGTGCTGGTAAATGTTTTACAGCAATATTAATTAAATTTTCTTTCAACCATAGAATAGATGGAGCAACCAGTTGTAACTGATGAGGATTATTGCTTTGTGTCACCTCATACGTTTGTTGTTGTAGACCAAAAAGTGGTGCTGATTTAAACACACATTCAACAGTAAATAGAAATACACCCGACTGAGACATGTGTTCTTCGAAACACCGGTACAAGTTGTATCGACTCCTGTATCTTACTGGGTTGAAGCAAACTGCAATAACAGCTAATTTTTGTAAATCATGTGTCACCTCATAGTTCGTATTTCTAGCCATCACTATAGATTGTATACTATAATTTGAAATCGAGTAATGTTGTGTTGGCGGCGCTTGGAGAAAAGAATGATGATAAACGAGAAGAAAAATGCAAGGTTAAATAAATTCTTCTCTTCGTCTAATCTAGACATTCTTTTTCATTCTTAGTTTTACAGGCGTCGTTGTGTTTATTCATCGCTTTTCAACTTCAACGGTACAATATTGAATCTATTAACAGCAAGCAGCATTTTTATTCAATAAAAATAAGAATAGATGGAGTACGGAGCTCTGTCTAAAAAATATCAAGGATGCTAGCTATTTCTCGCCACTAGACTCAACCATAAAAAAAAACTCTATCTGCATTGAGCTCGAAAATGGGCAGGGAATCATTAAATTTTATTCAAATTCTGTATCAGTTGATTGATTTCCTCACGAAAAAAACATACATTTTACTGTAAAAGCCTCTCGAGTTTTTAGTTATTAATTATTTTTCATAACAGTCCATGAATTCAGAGGATTACAGTAACAACAGTATTAAAAGTAAATCATAAGAATCCTTGAAAGCGATGCACATTGGTACAACTCATTTTTCTTCACTTTTGTTTGCCAGTGAAACGAATATCAATACTACCGTATACGAACAGGGCAGGGGCAGTTGCTTCTTACTATTTAATTAATTGGATCATATGTCTATAATATAACATTTCAGTGGTACAAAAGTATCAGCTCGAGCGAGTAAGAAGTGGTTGCACTGCTATAGGGATCAACATACATGATTGAAGTTATGCATCAAAATTCTCACAGGAAAAACATGAGTATCAGCACTTATTTAGGGTTTCGAAAGGGATTTTCATATATTTGACTGTGATACGGTGACAGTGTTCAATGCAGATATAGTCACAACACAGCCTTGCAATCGTGCTTAAGTTCTTCGAATTCTCCACAAAGCCAAAATCTAACTCATAAAAAAATCCACAATTCTAAATGATTTATTGATAAAAAATAACACGAAACGTTCAAAATAAGGGAAAATTTATGATGTTTAATTTTAAATTAAAATCAAGTGAAATTTTGACGAGGTGTGAAGGAAAAGATATATGAAGCGTTGAAAGCGACTATTGGATGAAAAAATTTATTTTATGTTACAATTTTCCAGAAAATCGACATAATGTTCATCGGAAAAAATACTCAATCATAAATTATATTGATATAATAAATCATAAAAAATGAATGCAATATTATTAGAAAAAATTTCGTTGACTGTGTTTTTGAACATTGGAAGCTGACGATGATGGTGCAAAGAAAAGAGAATTTTATGAAAAACATGAAAATAAAACGTGACTTAATTCTATGAAAAATATCGATTATTATAGCGTGACCTAAGATTATAGTGTATATGCATGAATATATTTTCTCACTTTCTTACTAGGTTCAACGAGAGACACTACTATGAGAGAAATGTAATCCATAGAATCAAAGGAATTAGACTTTCCTAAGTCAGTTATTTACCTTTTGTTTTGTTCTCTCAAATTTCCTTCTCGTAAAATGATACTACTCTCGATAACAACATGATATAACATGAATAACCTCACAAAAAATTGATTGCTACGTATTTATGTTACGATCATTTTCAATAAGCTGGTTTTAGTGTGTTCTTTTTTCGTGCAGTAGCATAATATAATGTTGCATCATTTTCTTCTAATTGGTTCACAGACTCTCTATTAATAAGTATCTTGTATTAATTTATCAATGACTTCTGTAAAATTTCTATACTGTTGTACAATCAAATGCTTTTAACAAGCTCTCCATTGGTAAAATTAGACAGCAATAGAAAAAGTATATCGTATTGACTTTTATATATGTACGTCGTAATCATGATAATATTAAAAATGTTTTTCTTTTGTTTTCAAATAAATAAGAAAAGCAACTGTTATTGTGACTAAATACTGTGGGTTAGCACTGAAAGGGCTCATGACGCCGTCAGTTAATGCATAATAAAAAAAACTGTGGGTTAGTTAATGTTAATGGTGAAAAATTAAAGGTAAAGCACATAGTCGAATGTTTAATGTTGCGACACAGTGCATTTTCTTGGAAGCTTTCTCATGATTACTCTTGTCTCTATGCACGTTGATATTTTATGCCAAACAAATCAACCCTTGAATGATCACTGATTGGTTAGATTTAGGATAAGGTTTAACCCATGTACATATTGTTGGCATTGCCAATCGTTGGTACTGCGTATGGCTGACTTATCTCGGGTTGGTTTTGTTGTATTTCTGTGGCCTGGGTTTGACCATATCTTGATGATGTCTGGAAAGCCTCTTGTTGCGATTCGATCATATTACTCCGGTCTATGTTATGATTGCCATACATATCGTAGTTCGACGAACGATTCTTCGTGTTTTTTCTGTCTCTGTCTCGCCTCCACCTAAAAAGATAGTTATGGTTATAAGTTCTGTTTAGTATTTTTCTGTTCTCCGTCATGCATTTTGGAAAAGATTAGGTTGACTTTGAAATAAAATAAGAAAATATGAAACGAGCCTAACAGTCTAATTTATTAATTTTTGGTACTCAAAAAAGTGTGATTGGTGAACATTGAATCGTTTCACTGATACACAGTTGTCGATTATTAAAACTCTGGGTATTTTTTATCAAAACTGGTGTTGAAGCTTTATGCTCGTTTATCTCTGTCGTAGTGGTTATTCCTTCAGAAAAATCTAAATCCGACGAAGTCATGCGCAACTATGATGGAGAGGTGTACTATTCATGTTATCGCCAGAGCATACTTCGTTGTGAATTTGGTAATGTTTTCCGAGAGGATTTCGCCTAAATATTTTTTTCTGTCGATGTGTTACCCGGTAATTTATCAATTGTTCACTCTCGGCACAAACGGTTGTTCGCCGGCACCATCGCCCTGGGTCCATCTCTAGTAACACCGTGCGTCAAGTATCCTATGAGAAAAACTCAATTTTCTTATGGATAAGTTTTCTTTCTTTTTTTCAGAAACAAAGGTAATTTACAACAGAAAATTCAACATGAAAAACCGTTCATAAATCGTTGAGTATGACATGCATTTTACTCGTTATATTTATTAGTAACGACAAAAACTACTAGTAAGCAGTCAATCAACCGATACCAATTTAAGACTTAAACATGATTATATTCCATGATCCATGTTCTGCTTATGGTTTATCGGAGGCGTTATAGAAAAAAATACTAGAGATACTTATAAAATGCTGCTTTCATTAGTATCTCATTCATTGTAAGCTACTAGCCATTTTCAGTTTCATAATGACAAAATTGAAATTAAAATACTAACCATAAAAGTTTATACAAACAAGAAGCAACACAGCATGTCACTAGCAATAAAGCCAGTAGTGACACACCCAAAATAAGTGGCCAGGACATTGATAATCCTACATAAATGAAAAATATTGCATCTTAAATAATTGTTTGAAAACAAAATGAGGAACACGTCAGTTAACTCGATGATACGCTAAATACTTGAAATCTCATTAACTTAACAGTAGGTTGGCGTTACACTATGCCGAATCTTCTGCTTCAATATTATTTCCATTTCCTGAGAACTATCAACATCGATCGATGCGCTTATCCTCTGTTCAAACTTGAATTTAAAAAGTTGGATAACATTTGTTAAAAAAACTTTTCGAGCTCAGACTAAAATCAATTGATAAGACAAGGTAGTCTAGGAAAATTTGGGTGTATCTCACCTGGTGCCTTTGTCGTTGTTGTTGGAGTTCTAAAATAGAGAACCAGAGGCTTGATTTCAAATTCTTTTTTCAATGTTAGTTTACTCTATCAATGTATTCATGTAACCAGCATATACGATGAGGTACGCGATTGTATTCTTTTTTTAGCTGTATGATAGAAATCTACTGTGATTAGAGAATATTATTTTGATGAATTTTTCTTTAGTTGTACTGAAACTTATCATTAGTTTTCATTTATAATCGGAGAGCAAAATAAAATTTTAGAAGAAACTCATGGTGACATTATCATCAAGACTGATTTTCGTTTGGTTACGTACACATTTGAAATGGTTGATGCGGATGTTGCAGTCACTATGGATGTTGTGGTTGTTGTTGTTGTTGTTGTTGTTGTTGTTGTTGTTGTTGTTGTTGTTGTAGTTTTTGTCGTTACTAATAAATATAACGAGTAAAATGCNCTGATGTGGTAGTGTTAGTTGTTGTTGATGTTGAGGTGGTTGTTGCTGATGTGGTAGTGGTAGTTGTTGTTGTTGATATTGAGGTGGTTGTTGCTGATGTGGTAGTGGTAGTTGTTGTTGATGTTGAGGTGGTTGCCAAACACCGATTGGATGAATTGGATACAATGAATGTGGCACAATATGTATCCGATTGTAAGTTTTCACTAATTAACAAAATACAATCAGGTATCAAAACCACTGAAAACTAAGCAAAAAAACATTCACCTTGTAAATGCCAGAACACAGAGCTGGTTCGATCCGATTTGATTAGCATGTGGTGTCCATTTGAAACTGACATAAGACAATGATAAATTTGTTGGTGGAGTTGTGAGATTACTGCGAGACATGCCAGTAACATCACTTAAAACAACCAAATCTGCAATACGAACCACAGTTGAAGTGCATAAATTGATGATAGATATATTAAAACTGATTGCGTCTGCAACTTCTACTTCTAGGCAACGATCCAGAGGGGAAATTATTGGTTTAATCAAACAGTTCGGTTCTGGTTGAACATATATCATCATTTGAACTGGTACTGAACTCATAGGTGTATTACTGGTCGAATCGAGAAAGTCTTCAACCTATAGAGAAGTAAACGTATTATTCGATTATCTGCATAAATATAGAAAAATATCGTCAAAGATTAGATATCTTTGATTAACACTATTCATGATCGCTCTATAAATGTAAAAGAGTACGCTGATACTAGTTAGAGTATAACTGACGTTTGAATAAGCATCTCCTTACCTGGATAGCAACTGCATACAAGACGCGAGCTTTATGACCTGTAAATGTGATTGTGCAATTTGACAGAGTTGTAGTATTAGGTACAGTGTTTGGATAACAAATACCACTGCATTCGTCAATAGACGTATTCGTTGACCATCGACAACGTACATCATCGCCTGCATTTACGTCCGAAACAGGAATATTAATTTGTATTGTTCTGTTCACTACAGCATATTGTGGAGATACAAACTTAGCCACAGGTGGTGTATTAATAAAACCATCGGATCGTTTTCGAAGATCAATGTATGTTAAAATGGACCATGATAGACTAGAGGTTGGAGGATCATGTAAACTTGCCCAATTACCTCCTGTGTAGGCTAAATAAAAATGTGCACCACTAGATAGTGTTGTCTTTTTTGACGCTTCACTTTTCATCATGTCTAATGAGGAACTAGTCGATGTACAATTAGTGACAATATTAATTGGTGCAGTAGAGTATCCACCATTGGTCGAACAGTCAGCAACACACATCAGGTAAGTACTACTACTTGAGCGTGGAACTTGACTGGTACATGGTTCACGTGTCAATGTCCATGCATAGGATTGAGTGATGGTAATGCCAATAGACGTACCATTATCGTATGGATCAATCGGAGCCCATGTGATAGTTCCTCCTTTGAAGTGTACTCCAAAAGCGAAAATGAAAAAATAGAAAAATAAGAGTATACTCCAACACATCATTCGTTACGATTCACATCAATAACTTAAAATCTAAAAAAGAAGATATCAGCGTTTGAATAGTATATGATTATATTTGAAACATTTTTGAACAAAATATTCTTTCCTAAGTAATTAGTGAAGGGAGCTATTGAAATCAATCAAAAATATAGGCAGACCTCCGGCAGGCTCGTAAGTATAGTGTGCATTATACGATCGGACTTAAACAAAATTCCTACATCGTCATGAATTATATCGGAATGGATGAAAATGTTTTTTAGATCTGTTGAAATTAATAGAATTGACTCCGTTTCGATGTACTATAATTTTCCTAGTACGTCTGAGTGAACTGTCACAGTCGTAGAGCCTTAAAATAGGCATGCATTTATGAAACCGCTTTTATAGTATAGGATGCTACTGTAACAATTTGTAGTTGGAATCAAAACTGTTGAGTGTTACCGCAAGTTCTTATGAGTTGCATGACGTATCTGTTGTAATTGGAAAAGGAGCGCCAGACTAGCCTAATCTAACCTCATCATTCTCAGTCTGGCTATCTGGTAAATTCAAGCTAAATTTGGTGATAATGGCTGAATGTAATAGTGATATTTCTGGCAGGAAACTTGAGACTACCATAGCACTAAACGTTGATATATTTTGTCAATGAAAATTGCACGATAAATACAGTTGATTTTTGGAACTATGTATTGCTTTATGATTACTCTGTTCGGTTTGATATTTCAAGGTTTACGTTTGCGTACAGACGAATCTCATCAAATTCTTAAAACTCGAATAGTACAAATTACTTTTGTGCTCATGCTAAATAGAATAGTCGAATGTGAGTATTTCTTGTAATTCCCTTGTATATGCTTTAGGAAATTTTCTTCACTTTGTCGATGAAGCGTCTTTTCCCTACCTTTACTTGTCTTATTATGATACGAAATATTGTTTATAACAACACAAATTTATTAATTCAAGTTTCTATTGAGTCTTGAATATGCATGATAGGTTCTGTTTTGATATTTTCTATAAGAATAATTCCTTATTATTCTATTATCTTCACAGAAACAAATTAAATAATCAAACCATATGTCATAGAGTGATAAAAATACGATTGATCTAAGTATAGTAATAATAAAAAACTCAATCAATTAGATTTAAAATCCAGAGCTCGTTAGTGGCTCAAATACTAAAGTAGATTCGACATGGTTTTCTGTTGAGAAACACGGGAAACACGAGAAAAGTTGGGTAGCGTAGGTTGAAAGTACTTTATTTCAAGTAAAGCAAGAAAGATCGTTCGTTTTTGGAAGATCTCTGAGTAACAATCAACATCATACATTCTATGCACTATATTCATCTATAAAACTATAGCTGTTGTTAAAAATTTTAGAACCTTCACAATTTTTGTCATCATTTTATAAAGATACCCAATAACGTTATATTTTATGATAAAATACACGTACATAGAGATACACCACATTCAACTGCAGTTATAGACTTAGATTTGAATAGATTTGACTTACTTTGGATTTCGATAGCTAGCATAAAAATTATGTGTGTCTTTAATATCCAGTTTTATTCACTCTATCTTATTGAAGTATTATATTTCATTAAATCTTTAAAAACAATTTCAACATACAACAGGATTTGATAAAAATAATGATTTTGTTCGTAGGTCCCCTAAATCCTACAACACTTGTAAATTTGTTAAAGATTAAATGAAATCGGATACCCCGATCGAATAGACAAATGAAAAACATAAGCAACGCTAGCATGATATTTTATTCATTTCCTGGTCTGTTTTGGATCTAAAACAGGCTACTTTTTGTACAGAGAATCTCATTCTTTATGGAATAGTATCGATTCCGATGAAGTTTATAGCACGAAAAATTTAGGTTGGATATGTATTTGAGGGTGTGAGTATGAATGAGAGTATTGCATGGCGTCAATGAAAAGCCTAAATAAACTAAAGTTGAAACTTGTCACGAAAAGCATTGAAAATTGACTACGATCACTCCACACCTTGACCGATGTAATGATATGATTTGATAAATAATCTAAAAAATAATGACAGACACTGACATATTCCATCTCTTATTTTATCGAAAGCCATATTCACACCAATAAATTTACTATGCTAACATCACATCTGCACAGCGAAAGAAAAATGATTTTACGAGGAAATCAAATATAAAACATATTTGCTTAAGCTTCTTTTCTTTTTATAATAAATCAATATGTACCTATGGATATTTTTAGCATGTTTGCAATAACTTTATTCCCTTGATAAAACGTGGAAATGAATTGTACATGCATTTTACTTGCACAGAGAAACGTTTTTCGAGTGAAAAAAGCATTCATTTTAAATTTAATAATTAATTTCTGTGTATTGCTAATAATTTTAAACATAGATGATCAGAAATGCTCATTAAAAAAACGAGAAAATTATGTAACTTGGCTTCTCTAAAAGTAACGCTGTGACATTTTGACAAATTGTTTTGCAATTATCTCGAAAGGCATAAGAGCTATCAAGGCGGTTCAAACATCATTCGACGCAGCTCATCATAATCTATTTATGTTGCAAAAATGACCTAGTTTGGCTGAACTCTCGCCTTTCTAGAAAGGTTTTATCATCGCGTAACACTTTGACAAAAAGAACCCTTTTTCTCTAGGGCTGCTTATAAAACTCTAATTTTTTGGCAAATTATTTCTTCAAATTAAATGCTTATGGTACGAGTTTTGTAGAGAATGGGATGGGCTTTGAAGCAGTAAAAAATACAAAAAACAAGCGTAACGCTGTGATGCGATTTTTTGTCGAACAAATTTGAAGCACTTAACATGCTTAAAAAAATTTAATGCTTGTATATATTGATTACTGCCGTACATATATCCTTCTGTAAAAGAAATCAAGTTGCTACATTGAAATAGAAGCTCAATAATTGTACAATAAGTTAGAAACTGTACAAGAGCTTAGAAGTTGTCCTGAGGAACGAGAGTAAAAATAAACAGGACATTTTGTAGAGAATCAAATTCTGCATCGAACGGTAGATTAGTCTGCATTTTTGTTTTAAATTTCTTGGTTAGAAAATTGAAAATGCGATTTTTGAAAACTTTAAAACGCGACTTTTGATGCCAAAACTCAACTTTTTTAAAGAAAGAAAGTCCAAATTCATAATCAGCGTAAAAAACCGTACCAGAAAACACACTTATATCTATCCATATTGAAAGACGTTTTTTTTAAACTTGATCAGCGAAGTAGCGCGTTACGTTGGCAAGCCGAACTTATAGAACCGTAATGAAATATTAGTTGTTGTAGTAAATCATGTTTATTGTATACTTCAGCAAGTTTCATTTTGCAAAAACAATAATCTATTTTTTTGTTTATAAAATCGCATGATATTTATTTAGTACACTAAAAAATGAAGCAGATCAATAAATTGTGAAATAAAATATGTTCCTATAAAATTCTCAATTGATTCTTACTACAATAGTTACCATAGCTCGTGCTAAAAAGAAATAAATAATCTGAGAGTCCAAGATATATTTTTCAAGGCTCTTCAAATTGAACAACAGATAATAAATATATTCTTTGAAAACAAAACATTTTTGATAAAAGCAGATTTTTTCCTTTTTCTTTTGAATTATTTTACTTGTCAGCGAATGTTTCCAATAAAAAAATATACCGACACAACAGATAGATATTTGAATTGTGAGAAAAACTAAGGGCAAACATTTATTAGCACATCTGGTTCAATAAGAACGAAAAATTACTTGGGAGAACATGATGAACGTATCAACTAAACATTGAGTAGATGATAGACCAGAGAGGTAGATATATGAAAATATTCAAATACATCACCGAAAGCTCTGCATGATTATGTAATAGTATCTAAATATGAAAAAATTAAAAGAGTAATCACAACTTGTGCAGCTTCAAATAGTATGGCATATAGATGCCAATAATTTCTGTGAATGCCTTCACGAAAGAATATTCTTTTACTGTCGTCACAATATCCGTCAGAGCGATATGCATGATTGAAAAGTTTTCAATGTCACTCATTGTAAAAGTATAAATTTCGATTACAAAACGTTTTCGTTGAGAAACAAAACTATTTCGAAATCTATATGATTCTTCGTGTCATGCTGTAAAATCAATTTAATGTTTATTAGATCTCTAAACCTGATGATTTGGACAAAGCTTTCTGCTTGTTATCAGTTGAGAGCTTCATAAATCTTTTTCCAAAAAGAAAAAAGCGAAAAATAAACTGAAGACAGTTCGTGTCTAGCCTCTATATTTTTTTGGTAATAAAATATCTTATTTGAAAATTTCAAAGATTCTTCGTAAATCAATATATGATTATGTATCGTTGTTCGAAGCCAGCACATAAATGTATGACATATGAAACTATTTTCTCTTATCGTTCTGATGATTTCTCTACAAAATCATGCACGTGAAGAAAGAAGTCATAAAAAACAACAAGGTATTAATGTAAGAAATTTAAGAGTGAATAATGTCGCAATAAAAAATACATTGATGGCAGCGCTGACAAATTTACAAGAAAATAATCTTGAAACTATCTATGTGATTTGGCTTGATGCATCGGTTAATGACTTAGAAGAAAATATCCAAGCTCAACAAAGTATTCGTTCGATAATCAATCATCTTATCGTATTTCAAACTGCTATCGATTGTGAACAGTATATAAACCAGACTTCGAGAGATGATCGAATTCTTCTTATTGTCAGTGGCCGATTAGGACAAGAAATAGTACCACGGATTTATCATTGTCGACAAATTTTCTCAATCTATGTTTATTGTATGGATAAAGCAAGAAATGATGAATGGGCTAAACATTTTCAAAAGGTAATTTTGATAGGGAAATCAATGGCTAAGATGAAAACTTTAAGATTGAGAGATCATCATCGAGGCAAATGTCTTGTGTAGATAATGATGTATGTTTTGAAATTATTTATTTCTGTTTGTCTCTTAGATCAAAGGTGTAGTTATCGATCTAAATAGTCTATTAAAACAAATTCAATTGGATCAATCAAAACGTATTGAAAATAAAGTTGACGAACCGTTGGCAATTAACATATCAAATTTAAATCATTTTATAGATAAATCTACTAAAGAATTGAATGGTGAATTTCTTCATTCTCAATTATTGATCGATTGTCTTCTACGAATGAAACCGAATGTAACGGATAAAAATGAACTTATAAATTTATGCCAAAAATTCTATCAAAATAATCCTAAAGAATTGAGTTTAGTTAGAGAATTTGAACGAAACTATTCATCCAATCAAGCAATATGGTGGTATACACGAGACTCATTCGTTTATCGGCTATTGAATAAAGCTCTGCGTGTTCAAAACATTGATTTATTATTTCTTTTTCGTTTTTTTATTCGTGATATTGAACTACAATTGAAACAATATCAATGTTCATCGTTGGTACGTACCTATCGTGGACAATTGATGTCAACCGATGAATTAGATCAATTGAAAATGTCGCTCGGAGAATATATTTCAGTAAACTCATTTTTTTCTACAAGTCTTAATCGACAACAAGCTATTAGATTTTTAAATGAATATACTTTTTCACATAATTTCCAAAAAGTTTTATTTGAAATTGATGCCGATCCACAATTAGAGAATTTAAAATCATTCGCGAAGATAAATTCAATAAGTTCTTATGCCAATGAACAAGAAATTTTATTTATGTTAGGCTCAATATTTCGTCTCGTAAATGTCAAACAAGAAAAAAACGGACTTTGCACTATTCAAATGATCTTATCGAATCATAATGATGAACATTTAAGAATACTTTTTGATAACATTAAAAATGAATATAGTGGAGTCAATGAAGAAACAAGTCTTTATTCATTTGGAAATATTTTATATCAAATGGGAAAATATGATTTAGCAGAAAAATATTTTTATCGGCTACTCAAGGATTTACCCAATGGTCATGATGATATTTCAAAGTGTTATCATTCACTTGGTGTTTTAGCTTTGATCAAAGATAATCGTGATTTAAGTCTTTACTGGCATGAAAAATCATTGAAAATCTTAAAGCCAAATGATCCAAGTTTAGCCGATTGTTATCATTCTATTGGTTGTATTTATCAAAAGAAAGGATATTCTAAACGTGCTCTAGAATTCTATGATAAATCTTTAAATATTTGGAAAAATTGCTTTGGCGAAGATTATCATCAAGTAGCTGATTGTTTAAATAATATGGGTTGTCTTTATGAAAGTGAAAAAGATTATTCTAAAGCCTTAGAATGTCATCAAAAGGCGTTGTCGATACGTAAAAAATGTTTACCGAAAAATCATTCCGATCTCGGTGCTTCGTATAATAATATTGGCAATATTTATCTTTGCCTTGCAGAATATGATTTAGCATTAGAAAATTATAATCATTCCTATGAAATAAAACGAAAATCTCTTCCATCACAACATCCATCATTAGCATCAACATTAGAAAATATTGGGCTTGTTTATGAAGAAAAAAAATCATTTCTACTAGCTTTAGACTACTATGAAAGAGCAGCTGCTATTTTTCGAGAAACATTCTCATCTTCACATAGTTATGTTATTGAAATTGAACAGGATATTCAACGTGTACTATCGATGTCGAAATCTCAAGGAACAATCATCGTTTCTAGATTTTAAGAGAACATACGATTACGAAATTACTTCTGTTTCTTTTTTTATGAGTCAGGTTATTGCATCAGTGTCTCCCAGTTTCATATATATGTGTAATAAACTTTCGATAATATAGAATAAATATTATTTTGAAAATGAGCTTAACGACGAATAGTAAAATCGAAGATTTATCTACTGAACTGTGGTTAGAAATATTCGCCTATCTAAAAATTCGCCAGCAATTCCATGCTTTTTATGGGCTAAATAAAAGATTTAACCAAACTCTTTTATCCTTTCGAACTCATATCAGTTGGAGAAATAATGATAAAGATGCTCAACATTTACTCGCACATGTTTTACCATATATGACACATCCCAAAAATGTTACTGGTTTACGATTAGAAAATACAAGAAGAGTAAGTATAATTATCATCGACTAAAAAGTCAATCCCCATAGATACTCAAGGTTACTTGAAGTTTTACTCGTACTAGATGATATACGATTAAAATAAAAGTAACCATAAATGATATCCGCAGGGTTTAGATTTATTCTTTAATTTGAAAGAAAGATGCAATAAATTTAGGTTGACTTCAATTATTATGGCAATCTATTCGATTTTCCTCGGCTAAAAGCACTTTTTCTCCATCGTCTAAATATTACGGAAGATCTTCATAGTATAATTAAACGAAACTCAACTTATCTTCGATATTTATATATTAGTCAAACAATATCTTGTGATAAATTACTGACGCATAAATTTCTTGAAACAATTTTATCTCTACAAAACTTACAAACATGCAGTCTTCGCTTGGGACTATGTATGACTCCGTTACGAATACAAATTTCATCAAAAAGTTCAATTAAAAATTTGCGGTTAATGGGGACAAGTGAAAATTGTACAATCGATCGACTTATTAAATTATTAGAATATTTACCACAACTGCAATCCTTATATATTATTGCTAATCAGCTTAGTTTTATTTCTACAAAATCTAAGAATAATGAAATATGTGCAGTTGCGCTGTCTAGTTTTACTTTAAATATTAAGGAATTCATTATTTCATTTGTTCAACTGACAGATTTTATAATACATGTAATGCTTTTTATACAAGAACTTAAGATTGTATGTCGTACTGCAATGCAAGATTTAAACTATTTAAATATTCACGATTGGATAAAATTTGTTAAGTCTTCACCAAATTTGAAAAAAGTGACTTTTGACGTTTATCGTGGTAATGAAATTGACGAACAAAAATGGAATAATCGATGCCAAATGTTAATTAAAAGCATGACCTTAAATCACATTACTTTACGAATAGGCAAATAATGAAAACAGTTCTAGTTCGTTTTATCTTCGCGAAATGATTATCACTGGAATCTATTGATTTTCTTTATATTGCAGCAGCAGAAGGAAGAAATTCAATAAAAAGTCGATTTTGTTTTGAAAGACAAAACCCCGGTATTATACATTGACATAACTCAGAAAAGAGCTATTCAATAAATATCGAGCAAGTATCGATATAAATATAAATCTTATCTGCCAACATATTTTCATTTCTTTTTCAATATTTACTTCCTAGTCATCTAATATTTTAGTTAGCCTGTAGCTCAGCAGGAGACTTTTGCATTGAACTTTTTTTATTTTCAACTTCTGACAAAAAATGGAATGAATTTGCGGCGGATAATACTTTTTTCTTGATTGATTTTGAGACTTATGAGTATATGCAATATTTGTTGATTTTGTTCTTATTCACAATAAAAATGCACATATAGATGAGAATAGTTTTTGTACATGCGATGTGGTCTCACGAGTACGTGCATCTTTTTTCCTAAGAAGGGCGAACAACAATCCTAAAGTATGTATCGAATGGAAGACGAAGTTCTATGCCTACTTCTACTCTTCTTTCACATCAGGAAAAAAACTATTACAGTAACGATACACAATAAACGACAGCATAATGCATGTATCGTCGAATCTAATGAATACAGAATCACTATTAAAGGCATCTGTCATCGGCAATCGTGTTTGTTTTTTGAAAATGTTTGCTGATCTATTGATTATAACTAAACAGATATTTTATTCTTATTCATAATATATAATGAACTAAAGCAAATAGTTGCCATAGAAGTTCATTTGCGTCAAGTAAATAAAATGTTATGTTGGATTTATTATTTATATACTCTATTAAAAGTTTTTCTTCGGAGTTTTCAATAAACTTTACTTATGAAATAGTGTCCTTGATTTTTCATAGAAAGAGCAAAATATTTAATCTCAAAATCAATAAAGGAATTCAATCGGAAATACTTTCGCACGGTAGTACAATTCTTCCGCAACTTCGGTAACCGTGTTTTGAAGTAAATTTCCTTTTGTTCGATTTCTTTCATTATTTTACAACTTCATTCATAGAAAACTATCGATAGCAACAAAGGTTTTACAATTGATTATATAACTGGCAATATCTCTCTGCATGCTCACGAGTTAAATTGAATTTTTGTAGCGTTATGAATATCAATAGTCAAATAATAAGATCGCGCCATTAGATTATATCGTGTTCACTTTGAAACTTAATGGAAAACCTTACGTATGCAATACAGCTCCGCAAAGAGCTTTATAGCCTTCAGAAATACTTCCAATGCAATTCCTTTACATTTAAATATTGTTATCCTTGAAATTTTATTCTTTCAAGTAAAAAACAAAAATGACGAAATCTCTTCGATATTTATTTCAACACGTGCTGAAAAACAAAATTTATTTGAAGCCCTCATTTCATTGATTCGATTAATTAACAAAAAAAATACTTTATAAAAATCGTTTTCAAAAGGAATTTTAAATATAAATATAAAATTCACGGTTTTCTCTGCAAACATTTTGAAACTAAATAGAGTAAACAATTCTTGTCGCTCGACCAAAAAATTAACATTCTCAATTTAATTAAACATTTTTCAATCTCAATAATCAATGACGATATCTAGCTTATAGAAAAAAAAATAGTTTGACGTTTTCTCTTTTTTTCTAAATTCATGTTAAGGTCTGTTGCCAGGTGACATGTAAATAAAATGTCACTGATTGATTTTATTTTTCATTCGCCATATTATTTTGTCATTCTGAAAACATGTCAACACATAATTCTACGTTACAACACAATAATGCCTTAGAAAAAGATATCAAAAGTCTGCAATTTAGTTTTAATCAAATTGTAACGTCCAGTACTCATTATCATACAAGAGAAATTGAAAATGAAGTAAGACATATTAACAATGCCTTGGATAATATTAAACTTGATCGTGAATTTCAACGCGGATCAAAAAATTGGGCAAAACAATTCGATGCAAACGATGTGAAACAAAATGAAACAAGTTTGAATTTTTTCTTGGCATCAAATTAATAATCTCTGCTTTTCTTTCTTTCTTTCTTTCTTTCTTCGTAACTCAGATATTAAACAATTACTTGCAAAAGGACAAAGTCTTACTCAAGAACTTAATACATGTCTTCATACAACTACTGTTCAAAATAAAGAAGAGAACCAAATACGAGAACTGAACAGCTGGGCATGTAATACATTGCACGAGTATCTTCAAGTAAATATAGTGATTTCTCTTATTCGTATTAATGCAACAGTGTTCAATATTTTAGTCACTTCAACCAATAGCATCAGGTTCTTATGCTCGGCTAGATAATATTGCTCATCATCTTGGTGTTACTGATCGTTACATTGGTTATCGACATAATTTAACTCGTAGTGGAAATCAACCATTAAATGTTCATACCATTTGGGCTGATCGAAAACTACCTCGATCAACAACATTTAATCAACAATCGACGCCGGATTGGAAAACATGGGTTCATGCTTATCGGCGTATTTTCAATGAAACTATGGCTCAAGGAATAACTTGTATCTTTTTCCTTTTTCTGTTTAGATTACGGACCATCCGGGGCAAAATCAGCAGCACCCAATCAACATCGAACGAATGATGACGATAAACTTCTTGGTTATTTACGGCCAAAACACACATCAGGTTTATTTATTCCACAAAAACAAACGGTGGGAAACATTTTTTTTTGCTTCTTTCGATTAGAATCAAAACGTTCGACTGCAGCAGAAAATTTCTACTCTAAATCATGCGTTTATGATAGTGATTACAATAATGAAGTTCGTAAAGCAGGTATCAATCAAACATTTCCTGGTGCAACTGAATTCATGGATCGCTATAAAAAACCTGAAGAATTGCCGTATTCTCCATTTACAATTAATCCTCAACCCGATTATACATTACCTGGCCGCCCGTTAGCACGTGTTATACCTGATTCATTCAGTAGTGAATATACGCGCAGGTAGATTTTAATTTTTCATTAAAGCCTATGTTTCTATGGAATTTTAATTTTCCGTTTGATTCTTTTAGTTATGTATTTCCTGATTCAACCAAACTTGAAAAATTCCCATGGTTACGCTCATCATAAATCGACCGCTCGTCTTTCATATATATGCCTTTTTTACATATAGAACTTTTTAGAAGAAAAAAAAACAAGACACTGAACACCTTTATTTTTCGAATAAAACAGTTAATCGATCAAGTTTTAATAAATTACGCTTGGAATCAAGTGCCCATACTTGACTATCATCTATTGAAACTAAAATAATAAAATAATTAGAAAACAATCATATTCATAGTTTATTTATATATATACCAGTAAGTGAAAGGAAAAAACCGGGCAATGTTGTTGATCGTGTTCCAATCGGATTTGTTATAGAAATCTTTTCTCGGCATTGAATTTGACCGCAACTTGTTAATAACCATAATGTATGTTCACTGATAGCTAGTTCAAGAGCTGAACAATCTATATATATATAAAAAAAAACGGAATGATTTTTTCATTTCTAATAATCAACCATTACCTTCAAAAGGTTTCCACGATGTTCCTATACGATTTTCTTCGTTAATACCCACTCGAGCATAAACAGTTTGTTTATTGTCGGTAGCATAGACCTGTGAAGTACATTAGAAAAAGGAAAGATAAATTTACTAATAAACTCCAGCTCGATTGATAAAAATAAAATAAAATAATGAGGGTATCGGCGTCTTTAGATGTAATGAAAACGAAAATTACATTGCAACTTAACTTTGCTTCATTCATCTAAAAAGACGACTGTATATTCATATAAATAGTTATTCAACTTTAAATAGTTCAGTAAGGTACACTTACAGCAAACGACAATATTCAATTTCACGGCAAAAATATCTGAGCAGTATAAATTTCGAGTACATCATAGTTAGGCAAGATGCTAAATTTTCAAAAAAATACAGATTGTAATGTAGACTTATGATGGATGCTAAACTCCTGCATCTTGTTTCATCATTATTTTTGATTTCGGGTGGAAATTTTTATAAGGCCTTCACTCCTCTGATAACAGTCGTTTCATCTACCTTCTCTTTGAATTACATTTCAAATCGTCTACGCGAAAAGTAAAAGCTTTTTTTGTGTACAGTTTCATCCAAAATAACTAGCTGATGAAAAAAGTTCTTTCCCAAGGAAAGAACACTAGAATAATCCTTAAAAAATTACCATCCAATCTGCTGGCCCACAATATATTTGTGAAAAACCTCGATGTTTTTTCGGTGTGCCAGGTATAGGAATCCAAGCAGGAGGCAATAACGATAATTCATTCAAGTAAATACGATCACTAGCCGGCATATGACCGTGACGAAAATGAGTAGATCCTCGATCATCGACTGCCCATACACCAGAATTATTGCAAACAATATGAACTAATCTTCGATTCCAGTCTAAAACCAACAAAAACAAAATAAAGTAATCCATAAGGAAAAAAAAGTTTATTGTCTCTCACCAAATTGACTTTGATCTAATTGTTCCCATTTTGTATTGTTCTCAGAATTAGCTCGAACATAAATATTACACGATTCATCCAGTGCCCAAAGGACAGTGCCTAGCCGTATGAGAACTATGTTAACAATCAAAAGAACTGATACTCTCAATTGTCTACCTTGAGAACAGCTATCTGGAACAAAGGATGCATGTGTTAAATACTGAGCTTGAGTAGGTTTTTCAAGTATTGAACCATTCGATGGACGAATCATTTTATCTGTTGTTAACGCCCAAACAAAGTCTAATGCAAAAATACAATGATATCAGGCAAAACAAATTCTTTGAATTTTAACAAACTTTCATTTGTAAATGCTCCGATTAAACGTTGTAAACGAGTATTAGTTTCAATTAATTTCCATTGAACACCTACAACAAAAAGAAAGTATCATTCCTGAAAACTCACTGATAGAAAGAAAAAAAAACAATACCAGTTATACAGTCTGAAAAAGTGAGAATTCGTTCTTCACAATCAGTAATAAATAATGACTCGGAATTAACACAAATCAAACATCTTTCATTAAATATCATCGAATCATCATCACACAAAACTTCAAAAAACCCTCCGTCAGACGACCATTGGTTTATCCATAAATGGTGTTTTTTATCCACAATAAAAATAATATTTTTAGTTGTTAATAATATGAAATCATCGATTTGACCAAAACTAAAACAAAAAACATAATAAATAATCTCAACATCAAATCTTCTTTTTCGCTTTTCTTCATACTTATGTTCAATAAAAATCCACCCGTCACCTTCAGGACAATCATCTGTACATCCAACACGAATTAATATTTCCCCATCATTCGTTGTCACAGCAACTTTTTCCGAAAAACAAAAGATTCTATTTAAACTAAATGGACACATAACATTTAACGATTGATAAGTCTCATCGACCGTTCGCATCAGCCATAGTGTACCGTCGTCTTTAATACACCTTCAAGTAGAAAATATGAATATTATTATTAGATAAGTCTTTCTTTTTGCTTTATCTTCCTTACATACCATCCACATTGATCATTAATTGACATACTCAATAGTGATCCTCCGTTGTCAATTTTTAGTTCATTCCAATGAGAACCAATTGGTGGAAATCTACTTGAATCGCTGGATGAGTAGAGACGTTTATTAAAAAGCCGCCATACTGTTCGATTCGTAATGCTAACAACTAGTTGTTCAGCTCGATCAGAATGTTGTATCCATTTGAGTGGTGAATTCATATTATCGACATCGAATTTTGCATAGAATATTTTGCAGTCATCTGTGCAAATATAAATATAGGTTAACGAACAATTTATATGATTAATTGTTGTTTCAAATGGAATTAAATTAGAATTCACGATTGAAAATCGTTTCTTTTCGACAATTTCTGGTTCGATACGTGTTGAAGAAATATTTTGATTTATTTCGTCCGGTAAAAATTCATTTATTGTTGAATCAATATTATCTACAGGTTCGTTTGCAATTTCGTGTTGAGCATCATCGAGCGTTGAAGTGGGCTCTGATGAGAAAATATCCCGTTCAGTATCGAGCTTATTCAATTGTTCAGTAATATTATTAATAGTCTCGTCTAGTATGTGAAAATCTTGTTTAGTTGATAATTCTTCTCGTTCTACATCTGCATCGTTTTCAATATTTGTTATTAAATCATTTAAATCAGTCAACACGACTGATAGTTCTGGCGATTTTTTAATTGGTGAATTTGTTCTAATATTTGATATTGCAAATTCATTGAATGAATCCTCAAGTTCATTCGAAACTTGCTTTATTTCATTCTCTGGCGTTGACGAATCGTTATCATTTGAATCGGACTGTTCATTGTTGCTATGCGTTGGTTTTGATACTTCCTCATGTGCCATTTCTACTGGTACGGTTTCTTGAACATCATCGGCGATAGATGTATTGTCAAGATTTACTACGGGAGGTAATTCATCGATTGATATATTCGTTTGAATATTTTCCTGATCTGACTCAATTTTAGATGATGTCGAATTTTCGTGTTCTAGATTTAAATTATTGTCTAAATCAGAATTTGTTGTATCTTGTGCAATTTCTAAATTATCTTCTTCTGTAATAGTAATAGATGCAGTGTTTTCAATTAACTCATCAGGAATTGATACTGTATCGACTAATCCATTGAGACATTGCTCGATAAATTCTCGATTGGCTATTTCATTGATTATATCATTCAGGCAGCTCATAATTTCCGCACGATTATATCTTTTCTGTTCGTTTTGCTTCCTTTGTCTTTCGTCAGAATTAGTCTCATGATCAGGTGACACTGCTGAAGTCGATAAAAAACCTTTGAATAAAAAGATCTTTATTAAATGCTTAATTAAAATGTTTACCATTCTTTTTTGCATGAGATTTTTTCAATTTTCTATGTACTACTGTTGTCGGTTCTTCGGTTGGAGTTGGTGTTTGTAAGCAACTGGGGACAATTATTGGAATAGTTTTTGGAACTGAAAGAATTTTTTCATATTAATATTTGTCACATCGAAATGAAAAAGCGAAAACTAACCGGTGGGGGAAGGTGGTTTTGGTAAAGAAATAAATTCTCCGTCAGGATTTTCAACAGATGATTGCCATTTTTTTGGTTGTTGAGTTTCGTGTTCGACTGCTTCTGCTTTAGAACGCTGTCTAAATACGTATAAAAAAAATGAATTCAAATGCAAGGAAATTCATGAGAAATACTTTTCGAGATCGTCTTGAGCTTCTTTAAGTTTTTTATCGAGCGTTTCTGTGAGTTCTCCGAGCCGACTTCTGGCTGTTTCTTTCACTGACAATGCTCGAGATTTAAACTTTCCAAACCATTGTTGAGCCGATGTCATTACTTCAAAGCAAAATTTTCTGTTTTTAGTATGAAGATCTGTCAGGTAAACTCGTGAAATCTTGACTCACCCAATTGTTTATCAGTATCTTTATATAATAGTTTTTGTTTCTTTTCTTTTTATTGAAATGATAATAAATAAATACAAAAAGAAAAAAGAAAAGAAAAGATGATAAGACTATCCGTTTTTAATTTTTTTTTTCTTTACGAAATAGAGAAGAATAAATACAGAGAAAACAAACGTGGCTACTATAACAATACGAAAAAAAAACAAGGTAAGTTCTTAATCTTATGATTGAATAAATGTCTTCGCTCGTGTACAATCTAATTGTAAATCTGGCAATGAAGTCGATGCACAGCGATCGACTTTTTTTAAATCATTCATAGTTGTGTGTTGTTTTGATGCTACTGAAAGTCGATATGATGTCGCTTGTGTTACTTTATGTAGAACAGGTGTTGCCCATGTCATTTTAGGTTCAGAGTCCAGTGCCAGTGTAGGAACAATAACAGACGCAGTTATTCGTGCCTGAGGTTGTCGTTGATTTAATGGTAGTGAAGTTATTAATGGTCGATGAGTTTGACGTGGTTTTACCGTTGCAACTGGACGAGATTGAGGAACTTTTACTATTCCGGGCAATGCTCGACTACTCGATAAAGTATGTGCCTAAAACAAAGCTTTAGAAAAACAAAAAATACAATCGAGCAGCGATTTTTTAACTTTTAATTGCAATGTATGAAGAGTGGTCACTTCTGAATTTCGATTTGGTAAAGTAACTAATTCAAATAAACACAAGAAATGAAACACAAAAATTAATCTATTGTGTTTACTTTCTCTAGATGCACGTCGTTCAGATTTCGGTGATACTTTAGAAGTATTATTATGGTGATTGTTACTGTTCACATAATTATTATGCGTTCCGGAAAGTATTGATGCGTCGAATGTTTCTGTTCGCTTCATTTTAAATTGAGTTTGAGTTGGTGGCTCATAGAGCGAATGACGATGTGTATTGCTAACTAAATATGACAAGAATTTGCTTTTTTCAAAAAATGATGTTTTCTGCAGGCCGTTTTCCTACAAGAAAAACTCGTTTCTACTTACATTCGTCTTTTAATGTGCGAACTTTTGCTGGTCGACTACGAAATCGACCTTCATTCGTAATAACCATAACTTCCATACTATATTCGGTATCCGTTCTAAGCATTGTTGCATGATATTCTTGTTCAATACCGGAATAAATACATCGGCCATTACAGAAAAGTTCATAACGAGTAAAACGACCAGATATTACATCTGGAGATTGCCATTTAATATGCAATTCACGCCGGCCTACTATCGAAAATGTTGGTGGTGCTGGATTTACATCGCCTAGAGAAAAAAACACACAATCAACAAATGCCAGAAAAAATAGGACCCTATCAATCAATTGAAGCTTACCTGCAGAAGCAGTAATTACATGGATTGATACTCGTGGTCCTTTGCCTTTATTACTGACTATACATACATCAACTTGATACCCAGTACTAGCTGTTAATGAACTAATTGTACTTCCACATTCAGGAGTAAAATCATGTTCAACATTATCTAAATATTTTAATTGAGCTTTATTTTGTTTGTTGAAGTGCCAGAGAATTTTAAACTAAACGATGAATACTTCAGAAAATTCTCACTATCAAAACATATTTCATTTTGCGTTAGAGTATAGCTTTGCTTTTTTATTTTCGTTTTTACTGATTCATATCGAACATTTAATTGCCGAATCAGAATAAAACACTTCCGATGAAATAGCACTGGTCATGATGGTAGACTCTGTATTTGCTAATGTTATTTTCTCTCTATCAGATATTAAGTCATAAATATTTCTAGTAATTATTTTTTTTTTAGTTTGATAGATTTCGCTTTGACCTTACGAAAAAAACACAAAAGTAACACTGAAATTTTTGCCGAGAATTATTCAATAAATTTACCCTTCTTTTTAGTTTGAAAAGCATGCCAAATTGAAGTGTTCGATGTGTCCTTTTCTTTCTTCTTCTCTTAAAATTCTTACTTTTCATGTGAAGAAAGAGCACGACAACTTCAACGCCTCGAAAAACTTGAATAATTGTCATTTATTGTTACAGTGATTTTTTTTCTCTCTGCATAATGATAACAAAAGTTAATTAAAGAAAAATGCGTCATATAAGCCACTACAGATTCGATGCTCTTCTAAATAGGAGAGAGAGAGAGAGAAAAAAACAATTCGTAACAATGAAGCCTCTTATAGAACTTTATGATGTGTGATCAGAGAAGTATCAACAGCGGGAAGAAAAAACGTGAAACATTCTTTGTGTTTATTTTTGAAAAATAAAATATCTAATAAGAAAACGCTGGTAGATATATATATATATATATTCAAGATAAAATATCAGGCTACATTTTCATGGATTTATTTCTCACAGAAACAAATTGAATATTCCGGGTAATTTTAGAAAACAAAATAATTTTCTTACCTAAATAAACTTGATAGCCTTTGAATGAATTGCACGCACTAAGATCTGGCTGTTCCCAACCAATACGAGCTGCTGTCATGGTTCGACGTACAACATGTAGATTATTCACAGGTGGTGGTACTAAATAGAAATATATGTTAATAAATTTGTTTTCTTGAAATATGCCTACATTCTTCATCTGTACGAAATACAACTGGATCACTACGAATACTATCACCATGACATGTTAAATATTGAATTTGTATATTATAACTTGTATTTGGTCTTAAACTCTTTAAACAATAATTTGTCCCATTTGTAACAGCTATTGGTACATCATCTTCGAACGAAAGAAATTTTCTATTTTAAAATTTAGTGTTATATATACTACTGATGCTCTCGTTTGAATCCTCTTTAGTTTATCTGATCGAAATAATATGAGCTTCTTTTGAGGATCAAAAGAACTAGACTGTTCCCATAGATTTTATATAGAGAAGAAAAAATTGGCTCGATTTTCGCTGATGACAGATATCTATTAAAAATCTTACCAAGAACAACTCGATATTGCAAGTCACTATCATCCCAAGTATCTACATTCAAACTCCAAGATAAATCAACAGAAGTACTTCGACATTCTAATTAAAAGAATTAAATAATAAATTTGAGAGAAAATAACTTTTTTCTTCTTCTAATAATTCATACCACCAATATTTGGTCGGCTAGGTTTCATATTTCTATGTATCATATACCAAAGTAGTTTCGCTTCATCTTGAATATCTTTAAAATTCCTCCATTTATCTTTTATTTGTTTGAGTCTTTCTGGTAGAGCTTGTGAATAACATAGGTGTTCGGCAGCTCCATCATATTGCGCAATTGTTCTCAGACACCTATCAATGAATCGGAAGACTTTTGTTTTTATTATTATCTCACATTCAGAATAAGTCTCTGCTTACATTAGAGCAAACCAAACATTTTCGTTTTCCATCGACAAAAGTATGGCTTCAATAACTAATAATATTCGATGAAAACTTGTTATATATTGTAGACATAATTGAAAACCATATTTAGTCGTGCACAAACAACTTAAAGCATAGCAAGCATTTTTATTTACGCCTTTCTCTTCATGTAATTCGAGCATATGTAATAATGCATCAAACTTTGAAAAGCAAAGAACCCATTATTTTAGAATTTCAACGTTTTTCTTTTACTGTCAAATTAAACTTACAATTTTATATTGTCCACAAACGGAAACGAGTGTAGCCTTTCCTTCATCTTTTTCTATTAAACGCCCAATAGCAAACGCAGCATTTGTCGCACGACTAGGCTCATTAATATCAAGCGCTGACATAAGTTGATTTAAAATTTCCTTATGTTTGTAATGCGTTAATATTGTTTGGCAACCAAGTTCTTCAACGGTGAGTCTGAAATGAATGATAATTAAACCCTTAGAGTTTTCTTTATTAGCTCCTTTTTGTTGCTGTTGTTGTTACCGAGCAAGTACTAATGCCACATTACTGGCAATCCAGGGATTCGTAGACGATAATAGTGCAGCTGTATTTATAATCATTTGAGGAATGCACGCATGATTTAATACTAAATCACGGCCTTCTTTTGAGCTACACTTGAAGATACAATGTAAACGAAAGAAAAATTAATTTCTTTCGGTATGACAAAGAGAAAGAACGAACAAAAAAAAACATCTGTGACAGTATTATTTTGTTTCGAACTATCTAGTGTTTTTTTTCTGTCCGGTCGAAGCTAAAATTTTTCATCCATAATAAAACCTCTCTTAGTTTGTTGTTTTTTTTTTGAATAAAATTTCTTACTCTTTATTGAACTCAATCTGTCACAGATTTTGAGTTTGAAACCTACATACTATAGTACCGAGCGTACCAGCAGCATTCAAAACACATTCAGGATCGATATGCTTCAATAAATAGCATAGTATTCGTATGACATCAACATTGTTTGATTTGTGTTTATCAGAAAATACAATTAAAAATTGTTTGAGACCGGCTTCTAACTCTACTGTACTACCCAGAATGTAAGCACTATTACCGGAAACACTATTACAGAAAATAATATATATGTATACAGTTGTGATATTTGAATCGCTACGATAGTTAAGAATTATTCTTACCGATCATCGTTGCTTAGTAGCAACTGTGCAATAGAACGAAAAATATCATTAACACTATTTTCTTTAAGAAATCGTTGGATAGTTTGATCTCGATCACGTCTTAAATCATGGACAAAATATTCAAGCGCATGACGAACACTTTTACTGATAGGTTGAACTATCAAATTTAATTTATCATCTCCATCAATGACACCCAAGTTATCTTCATTCGGTATAAATCGGTCAAAATAATGTTTCAGATCGAAATAAAATTGATCATGATCTGTATTAACCATTTTGCTTCAGTAAATATGAAAATTGCTATTTGTTGCAAATTCTACGTTGTGATTCTTACACGTACTCTTGTCTTATCAACCCTCTAAAGTGAAATAGAAAAAAATGAAAAAAAAAATATGAAGAATCGCAACAATTGCACTGTATACGTGTCTGTGTGAACATGTCTGTCTCATACAAGGTGTGCATTTATTTGCAGCAAGACAAAGAATAAAATTAAGAACATGAAAAAGAAAAGACGAAGAAGAAGAAGAAGAAGAAGAAGAAGAAGAAGAAAAAAAACTTAAAAAAAAAGAAAACGAAAGACAAGTAGTCAAATATTTGCTGTTGTTAAGTTGTTGTCTTTTTTTATTGTTAACAAAAATCGAACAATTTAATAATCAAAGCGAAGTCGTGCTTGGCATACTTGATCGACAGCTTGATTAATAGTGAAATCATATAAACCAATTTCACATAAATTAGCCATTATATAAAGTTTATTAAGGACTAACTCATTCTAAATGAAATATAAAATTTCAATGAAGAGAATTTTTTATTTTTTTTTGATCAGCAAACCTGAAGATCGAAACATTTCTCTTGAATACGCTGTGTAACAGATTTATAACAATCGTATTGTGTAAGTGCCATATGTTTTTCTAGCACAGCTGCCAAATAGCCACTATGACTGTTGGATACTGCTATTGATGCTATCTTTTGAATAGAATTTGTAATGACAGCTCGATCCTAAATGAAAATTAACGTTAACAATCGATATTAACAATTGAATTCGTGTAGTTATGAGTATCTGCAAGGTATTGTACACAAATGTGAATATGATCAAACACAAAATGCCTGTAAGCAAGCCATTTTTGTTTTGAATTACCTAACTGATAGCATAAAGGCTATGCTTTGTCATCTACACCTGCTCTTAATGTTCATGAACAACTCTACTCTAGGCATGAACTTTAACCAAGGCTACAGTTAGCATTACTCATACGGCCAACATAAAAAATATAGAAAGTGCAGCTCGTGACATTTGTTAAGTGACAGACTGAGTATTCGTTTGTCTACATGTTTTTTTATCTTAACTGTATTTTGAAGTATTTTCTTTTGTTTTGGCACATACGTTAAGTAATTGAGCAAGTTCATGTTCTAAACTTTGTTTTTCAAGTGAATTTTCTGGGAGATTAGCTAAACGTCGAGATATTACAGCAAGACGAACATGTTCAGTAGGAACTGCATCATACTAAAATCATATTTATAAGAAAATTAGTAATGAATATTTTTTTTTGATTTTACCCGAAGTAAATTAATATCGTTATTAGCTTGATTGGGAGTGCGCTGAGATGTATCTAATTGATTTTCTTCACTCTGAAATTCACTAACATTATGTGCTTTACCCAAAACCTACACAAAAAAAAACCGATTCATCATCCAGATTCTATAATTGTTCTATTTACAAGATCACCATATTGCATAACATGGCTTGCATTTGTATTTTTCTGTGTAATTAAATATTGTTGATATAAAGTTTCTTGATCGATTTTTTCAACATCTGTATCTTCCATCCAAACAACTGAATAAAGATCGCCTAAATAGGTTTGTCGCTTTTCATCAAAATAGCACGCATATGATGACTCGGCTGAATTCGATGCTGTCGTTGCATAGACGTTAATATTACTCAGAAGAATATTCTCAAGCATTGAACCTGATTCACATGCTTCAATATAAATGACCATCTGTCATAAAAGAAAATCTACATAGGAACCGTTAAACAAAATTATCTATTAACTTGTTTGTATTTTTTTTGGTCATACATTTTTGTAATTGTATCATTGAAATCTTTTGCATAGAGCTACAAGAAAAACTCAATATCCATTTTTTGTCAATGAGAATCAATCTACATACCACACCACTTGGAAAAGCAACCAGACCTAGATAAAGAAAACCGCGCGTTCATAGAATGAAGTGTATTTATATCGAAAAAACTTACCGACAGCACCATGATCCGTAAAATAGATAAAAACATTATCATCGGGTCCACTAGAATCAAATCGATCAACATCAATTTCATAATCGTACTTCGAACTGTCCTATGCACTCCTATGTTCTATTCTAAGATTTCTGTTGAGTACAAAATTGAATTATTAGACGAAAAGAATTCGACTCGATTGAATAAAAATCAAAAGTGAATAGCTCTCAGCTCCTTTTTTGCACTCCACTGCAAAGTGATTTTATTCTCAAGTAGACAAAGAAAAAAAAATCAATTCAATAGTTACTAAATTTTTCTTTCACAATATTTTCTTTTCAATCTAATAACGTGTATCAGATCAATCGTTCATCAATCTCACCTTTCTAAAACTTTTCCACTACCGATCCCTTTCAATGCTTGTTTATTACCCATCAGAACATTTATAAAGTTCTTCGGTGTTACATTCTATTGCATCGAAACAAAATAAGTTTTTATATTCGAAAAAATAAAAACGAAAAACATATCATACTTTGCCGGTATAGTCATGTGGTACATCATGATAAACATCGTTTCCATTAGGATGATTAATAATAATACCTTTGGTTGGATTTCTGGAAAAAGAAAAAAACAAACAACAATATTTACTATTTTTAGCTACGCATTTAACACACCCTTGATTATGAGCTATATCATCGTACATCATAACAATAATATTCGAATCTGGAATACTATTGTTATGTAAGATTTGATAAGCATGACAAACATCGGCTTGATGACGATAATTATACCAACCATTAGAACCAGCAACCAGTACTGCCCAATTAGCTGCTGAACTATAGCTGATTGTAAATAAAACAAGAGTTGTTGTTAAAGTAATAAATTTCCGTAACATTGTGTAAATATTTTAATAGAGTTGCCGAGAATAGTTGAATCTATTTTCGTTAATATTCGACTTTTATATGACAAATACTAATGAATTCGTAACATCTGTAAATAACGTTAGTCGAAGAAAAGAAAATATATTCCTTTTCGCAACAACACTTTTCGTGCGACGCTGAATCAATCATGTGACTCAACGCACATGGAGTGATTGAGAGTAAATATGAGTAGAATAGTACAGAACGAAAGAGAAATACATACATTTATTCAAATGGGCATGACTTTTAGAATTGCAAACGATTAAACTCAATATGCAAAAATTATCTCTATTCACTAGATGAATCATTGATAAGATAAAACTTTATCTAAACTGTATCGATTTTTGTTTTAAAAAAATAATTATAACGAAAAAACAGCTGACTTGTGAAGATTTGGTTTATTTCGGTATTCAGTATTTCAAGGTTATTGTCATTCTGTGTTCGAAGATTAAAAATGATTTGATTCTCAAGTAACTATGTCTAACGTAAGAATATAACGGTATAATACTTTTTGCAAATCACTCAGTTAAATCATATAGCTAATATTTGAGATAACATTGGTATTGACTCTTTTATATTCAATGTGCCTCTTGAGTTTACACACATCGTTACTATTGAACCTTAAATTCGTTTATTGAGAATTAATTTAATTATGTATAAAAACAATTTTTTTTTGTTTTAAAAAAGATTCATAGAGGTAAGTATGCAATGCTTTCACTTTGTTTTTACATGGGTGTTGGTGAAGGTCAGCAAAGAGCTGCGTTCCGATTATTATGCCATCCCTTTTGAGCACGTCGTCTGCATCGACCACGGACATACAAGATGTCAAGCATCATCTGGGACATGACTGTGGGCAAACCACAGTGACATTCACGCCAAGCAGCTCATCTGCAGTAGATGCTTTGGCCGATGACGACGATGCCCATTAAAAATCAAAACAGTCGATAGAGAATAAAATTTGGCATTCAACACAGATTAGGGAGCGAATCTGGTTCTAACATTTCCTACGTCTATATATACTCGAGAATGAAAGTCTCGCCGTCAGATTGCGCATATTAATTACTAAATAATGGCTAATTATCAAATTACAGATCAATAAGATTGATCTACATATTAAGCCGAGCATACCATCGAATGTCGTCATGGAAATAGCTGGATTTAGATTAGAAAAATTCGGTTTTTGCGGATGAGAACAGAATAAAAATAACTAAGCTTTACTATTATTTTCTCGATTAATAAACATGATTAAAGGGTGGTGAGGCACATTGAGACATATGAAATCTGCTTGAAATGTAAAGCAAGCGTTAGCTATAAAACAAAATCAGGAATAATATAATACTAAATTAACAAGTCCTGTTTTATTGAGGAAAGAAAAATAATGTTTCTTTCACTTGCATATATTTTTGAGATCTTTCATAAGTAGTTAAACGATGACCATATGATGTAATAATGGTCGTTTACCATAAAAACACTGTCCGTAACGGCATTGTATTCGACCGTCAAATGCACAGCTTTTTATAGCTTAATCCTTATATTGACTTGCTGTTTTATGCTACAGAAGTGTAGCTATTATCCTGTTGAATTCAAGTATTTTTTGTTTCGGTTTCAAAAACGTGTTTTTCAAAATGACAACGAAAGAAGTAAAAAAAAACTGAAACAGTTTTATTCGTACGTTTCCCTATTTTTCATGATAGGTTAATTTTGTATAGAAAGCCGAAACAAAATATGAAGGAGTCACAACCAAACAAAAAATTTCAATGCATTTTTCTTTTGAAGAATGATAAATCTAAAAATGAACAGTTACATGTTCAAAAAGTGTAAAAGAACTTGTTAGCATGTTTGCCTAACACAGAAAACAGTAACCAATAATGTCATAATGCTGATTAAGTCGCTTTCTAACTCACCAAAACCAGCAAACATTAATGAACTATACCGTCTCAAAATAGTAAATTATCACTCGTTAGAAACTCTATATTTCCCACTTTATGATCCTTGATACTTCAGATTAAATCAGTACAATAGAAAGAAAATTCTAGTCTCTTTTCATCGAATGATACTTATAGGTTTCTACACAAGCTTCTTTTCCAGTGCAAAACTCGAAACTAGCAATCACACTTAACGTTTAATACGCTTTTAGTATTAGTTTTAGGTTTTCCATAAAAATCTACATTTACTTAACAGAGTTTGTTAGTTCGAATTCTAAAATAAATAAATGAGGAAACATCGGATTCGCATTCGATTGTTACGTGTACTGCAAAACTGAGTCGATTTATATATGTTGTGAATAATTCTGAGAAAAATTTGTTTTTGTGAAAAAATCCCTGTAAGCC